GTTTCACCCCACCTTCATACCTCTGATTATTGTAGAGACCCGTGACTGTTGTAGATTGTCATTTGTGACTTGTAGATATCCATGATTGTAGTAGACACTTGTGGTTGTTGTAGACTCGTGATTCTTGTAGTCACTCGTGATTGATGTAGACACTCGTGGCTGATGTAAACTCATGATTGCTGTAGATACTCAAAATTGTTGTAGACACCCATAGTTGGTGTAGACTCGTGATTTTTGTAGACACTTGGTTGTTGTAGACACCCATGATTGCAGATACCTGTGATTGTTGTAGACACCCGTAATTGGTATAGGCTAGTGATTGTTGTAGACACCCACGATTGTTGTAGACACCCACGATTGTTGTAGACACCCACGATTGTTGTAGACACCCACGATTGTTGTAGACACTCATGACACCCATGATTCTTGTAGGCTCAATATTGTTGTAGATTCACCATTGTTGTAGACACTTATGATTGTTGTAGAAATATGTAAATACTAAATACTGATAGATAAGCTTTTTATTGGTGAGGGTCATCCTACAACACGCGACCCAGAACTTTTCAATTAACAACATTTCATTAATTGTATTTTAATAATAATAATAATATTATTATTATTATTTTTGTTTTGGGGTTGGGGGGGGGGACTCGGGAAAGGACTGGCGTGCCTGTACACTGCCACTCTTGGCTATGGTGCTATCATTAATGGAATTATTCTAAGATTATATGTAATTTTATTTCTGTCATCTTATAAATTATGCATGAATAATTTCCTGTACAAAATTTAAAACTTATTACCAATGTGTGTCCTTGTGAATTTTGTTGAAATTAAGGTATTTAAACGAAGGATTATTAACATCTCTTATTTAAGATTTAATGCAATATTGTGTTCAGTACAATAATCACAGGTCAAAGCAAAAACAAACTATACAACCTCTTATGGTCGCTGCATGGAATGTCAGGACCCTTCTGGATACTAGCACAAATGCACATCCTCAAAGAAGAACTGCCCTTGTGGCAAAAGAGCTGGTTAGAAATAACATGAAATAGCAGCCATTAGTAAGTCCTAGCTCCCAGACGAGGGTCGACTCACAGAACGGGGGTTTTGCTATACTTCTTCTGGAAAGGCAAGCCTGCTGCGGAGAGAAACTGCATTTATGGAGTTGGCTTTGCCATCAGCCAATGCATCCTACACAGGCTAACTGAAATGCCTGTTGGGATCAACGAGCACCTCATGATGCTCAGACTCCCACTGAATCACTCACATCATGCATGCCTTCTTCATCAGTGCATATGCCCCAACACTGGATGCAGAGGATGACATCGAGGAGGACTTTTACGCCGACCTTGACAGAGTGCTAACCTCTATTCCCAGAGAAGATAAGGTTGTGCTCCTTGGTGACTTCAATGCCAGAGTTGGTAGAGATGCTGACATTTGGCAGGGAACCATAGGGAGAAATGGACTAGGCAAGTGTAATCCCATTGGCTTACTCCTCAACAAGTGTGCTGCACACAAGCTCACTATCACCAATACCTTGTTTAGGCAGGCAGACAAGTTCAAGGGCTCATGGCAACACCCACGATCCAAACACTGTCATTTCATTGACTACATCACTGTCAGAGAAAGAGATCGCCGAGATGTCCTCATCACCCGAGCAATGCGTGGCTCAGACCACTGTGACACTGATCGTCGGCTCATCAGAGCCAAGCTCTCACTTCACGTCGCCCCAAAACGGATAAGGCAATAAGCCTCCAGAAGAGGTTTTAACACTAAGCGTCTAGAGGATCCAGTGGTAGCACATGATTTTAGAGAGCAGTTCGAAAATGGGCTGATAAACAACCCAACAACAAACAAGCCAAATTCCAGTGCCGAATGGAGTATTCTCGACACTGTCATGATAAAAATTTGCAGAGAGACCCTTGGCCAGGTCGAAAGAATACACCAGGACTGGTTTGATGAAAATGACCCTGCAATTAATATACTTGTCGATGATAAACGTGCCGCTTTAATTGACTGGCAGAACAACCCTCAGTCTAGGACCAAAGCTGATACCTTCCACAAGAAGAAAGCATCGGCCCAGAGCGAACTTCGCAAACTAAAGAACGACTGTTTTAAAAATAAAGCACATAAAATGCAAAAACTTGCAGGTCAGCACAAGATGTGAGAATTTTTCAATTCCACTAATACATTTTATCGGCCAATCACTCATGGCACAGCCCCCCTCCACTCATCAGACGGTAACTCCCTAATTAAAGATGAAGAAGGCATCCGTCAGTGCTGGAAAGAGCTCTACCACTCGCTGCTCAACCGAAACACCAATGTGGATGTCCTAACCACCCAGCAGATCCCTCAGTATCCAGAGCTGACCCATCTTAGCTATCCTCCATCCCTGAATGAGGTAACTGCTGCCATCAAACAGATGAAAAATAACAAAACCTCAGGGCTTGATGGAATCCCAGCCTGGGTGTATAAAGCAGGAGGACCTCTTTTTACTAGCAATCTCCACTCTCTCCTGGAAAATATATGTGAAAGGAAGGAAATCCCCCAAGCTCTTAAAGTCGCCTCCATCGTCAATACTTATAGGAACAAGTGAGACCGATCGGACTGGCAACTACCTCGGGATGTCGCGGTAGTTGCCATATGGCATCACGAAAATTGTGACCAAGACCCAGGTTGCTGATCTGACTTTCTGCCTCATTTACACAAAATTGCAGGGTCTCAATTGTTTTTCTTACTTTGACAACACAACGTACATACTGTATATTATTTCTCACTTTTGATCTTTTAATTTTTGTATTTCTTTGTTTCTGTATTATTATTATTATTGTTTTTATTATTATTATTATTATTATTATTATTATTATTATTATTATTGTTTTTATTATTATTATTATTATTATTATTATTATTATTATTATTATTATTATTATTATTATAATTATTATTATTATTATTGCAGTGTTGTTTTTTATATTATTATCATTCTTATTTTATTTTCAATATTGCATTTTTTTATTATAAATTTTATTTACTATGAATTATTATTACATTTTCGACCCCCAGGCCCCGGTGTGGGTCAGTGACCTGTGCCCGGGTGGGTTAATCCCCGTAAAAAAAAAGCTGGCAAGATTATTGCCCGAGTCCTCCTAAACAGACTTCTTCCTGAGGCAGAAGACTTCCTCCCAGAATCTCAATGTGGCTTTAGACCATCACGTGGCACCATTGACATGATCTTTGCTGCCCGCCAGATACAGGAAAAGTGCAGTGAACAGTTTTGTGACCTGTACATGGCATTTAACGACTCAACCAAGGCCTTTGACTTAGTCAACAGGGTAGCCCTCTGGTAGACCCTCAGCCGGTTTGGCTGCCCACCAAAATTCATCGGCATTGTGAGGCAACTCCACGACGGCATGAACGGCAGTGTCCTGCACAATGGCACCCAGTCTGAATTCTTCCCCATCCAAACAGGGGTAAAACAAGGATGTGTACTGGCACCAACTCTCTTTTCCATTTTCTTGGCTGCCTTCCTTACTTGTGCTACTGCCAATTTAGCCGGCGGGGTGGACATAGAGTACCAGATGAAGGATCTTTTCAACCTAAGACGACTCCAGGCAGGAACAAATGTGTTGGCAGCTTCCATTACTGAACTTCAGTATGCAGACGACCTCACCCTTGTCGCTCACACTGAACGTGACCTACAGGAGATCCTGAACACCTACTCAGATGTGTATGCACACTTCGGCCTTGAGGTGATTGTGTGTAGGGCTCAGATTCTCTTTCAACCTGCACCTGGTTCAGACACACCTCCACCATCCATCCAACTTAACGGTACTACCCTCCCTAATGTTACGCACTTTCGGTATCTTGGCTCCCACATGTCCACCACCGCGGACATTGATGAAGAGATTCAAAGTCGGATCAGATGTGCATCTCAAGCCTTTGGTAGACTCCGTACCCGTGTCTTCTGCTGTAGGGAGCTGAAATTATCTACAAAGTTGTGCATATATCGAGCAGTGGTCCTCCCCACCCTGCTATATGGCAGTGAGACATGCTTTATATACAGGAGGCACCTTAAGGCACTTGAAAACTTTCACCAACGTAGTCTACGTTCCATCCTCCTAGTTCGCTGGGAAGACAAGAGAACAAATGCCAGAACCTGTATTCTTGCTGACACCAACTGTTGGAGCATCGAGTCTACCATTATCCATGCACAACTACGTTGGACTGGCCATGTTACCCGCATGAACGACAGTGGACTGACAAAGGAGTTACTTTACAGTCATCTAACAAATAGTAAATGTAAAGCTGGCAGGCAACTGAGAAGGTATAAGGATAGTCTTAAGACAAACCTGAAAAAGTGCCAAAGCGACCCCCTCACATGGGAGACAATCACTCCACACCGTAACACTTGGAGGAGCACCACACAACAAGGTGTCAATACCTTCGAATTAGCCCGACTACAAACTGAGGCAGACAAGCGCCAGCGCCGGAAAGACGCTGCCACTGCACCTCCCGCACTAGATGGAGCCATACACATGTGCAACTTCTGTGAATGACTCTGCCGGTTCCGTATCGGACTCTTTAGTCACCTTAAAACTCACCAACCTAGGTGACAACCTTAATAACTCATATCATTGTATCATAGCTGGATGATCGTCATGCTCGATTCCGAGTGACAGCAAAGTAGTACACTAGTAGTAGTATTCAGTAACTAACTACTGTACAGGATTTTATTATTTTTCCGTTATTTCTGACAAACTTTACAAACCTTGGAATATAATTTGTTTTGGGGAATTTAACAGTTTCAGGATATCACTTATTTTTAGAGTGTAATTCCTAATACTGTACAATATGTGAGTCACTAAGGCATTCTCGTTATATTTATGTAGAATGTAAAAACAAGAGTAGGTTATTTTCACTGAATATGCTTAAATGGAGAAAATTTTTACTTCACTTCCTGAACGACAATTTCAATTTTAGGGTCTTTCGCCTTACAGATGACTCGCTACAAACAACAAACAGATGTGGATGATGATACGAGCTCAGTTGGGTCAGCCCGCACTGAGGAACTCCCCACCGGTACCACCACCGTCCATTATCACATGGTTAGTTCTTTTAGATCACTCAAAGATTTTAAGCACCCCAGTTTGTTTCACCTGATGATTAAACACCCTACCCTAACCTAACCTAACCTAACCTAACCTAACCTAATCTAATCTAATCTAATCTGACCCCCTTAGGCAAAATTGGAGTGTTTAATCATCTGGTGAAATAAGTTAAGCACTTAAGGCGATTGTGGCACCTCGGTTTATTTTGGCTCTCAGTGTGATTGTGGCACTCAGCATGATTGTGGCACCTAGGTTTATTTCAAAACTCAGGGTGATTGTGGCACTTCGGGTAATTATGAGGATGATTGTGACACTTAGGTTAATTGTGGCACTCAGGATAATTGTGGCACTCAGGATGATTGTGGCACTCAGGATGATTGTGGGACTTAGGGTGATTGTGGGACTTAGGGTGATTGTGGGGCTTAAGTTGATTGTGGCACTTAGGGTGATTTTAGGACTTAGGATGATTGTGACACTCAGTGTGATTGAGGCACCTAGGTTTATTGTGGCACTCAGTGTAATTATGGGACTTAGGGTGATTTTGGCATGGGTGAATATGGCACTCAGGATGATGATGGGATTTATGGTAACTACAGCACTTAGGGTGATTGTGGCTCTCAGAGTGATTGGCTCAGGATGATTGTGGCACTCAGGTTGAGTGTGGGACTTATGGTAACTATTGCTGCACTTAAGGGCACTCCTGCTTAGCACAATTGCTCAAGGTATTGGATATTTGGACCCATATTCTGGAATGGGGTGGTAATATCGACAATATTTATCTAGATTTTGCCAAGGCTTTCGACAGTGTACCCCACGAAAAGCTGAAAATCAAACTGGAAAGGTACAGAATTCAGGGAAATGTCCTAGCATGAATAGAAGATTTTCTACATGACCGCAAGCAGTGTGTGGTGATTAATGGCACGAAGTCACCATCCGTACCTGTTACAAGCAGTGTATCACAGGGCAGTGTATTGGGCCCGCTGTTGTTTGTTTGTTTCATAAATTACATGCCTGACGTTGTACACTCCTCCATACAAATGTTTGCCAATGACGCCAAGTTATTTCGGGAAATCAAGAACCAAGCGGACTGTGAAGAGCTGCAGAAGGACCTCTGTAGGCTCCAAGAATGGTCGAAGAAGTGGCTGCTGAGATTCAATGTCACGAAGTGTAAGAGGATGCACCTGGGGTGTACCAACGGTAAGGAGGCGTATCATATGTCCCAACGGGATGAAGAAACTGCACTATTTGAGACTGAATGTGAGAAGGACCTAGGTGTGTATGTTGACAATAAGCTGAAGTTCTCGAGCCATTGCGAGAAGAAGGTAAATCAGGCAAATAAATTATTGGGTCTTATAAGAAGGTCGTTCAGATATCTAGACGGTCCGTCCCTCGTAACGATCTTCAAGAGTGAAGTGCTTCCCCATCTGGAGTACTGTCACCCCGTCTGGTCCCCGAGTTATGCTAGGGACTGTCAGTTGATTGAAAATGTTCAAAGGAGGGCCACCAGACTGGTGCCTGCCCTTCGGCACCTCAGCTACCCTAAGAGATTGGAGCACCTGAACTTGCCTAGCTTATACTACAGACGGGCAAGGGGTGACTTAATTGAGGTGTATAAGCATCTCATGGGGCACTACTCAGTCAAGTGTCCTTACTTGGAGCTGGCGTGCACTCGCCCCACAAGGGGTCACAGCTCAAGATTGAAGAAGCCGCAAGTCCAGAAAACTGTGAGGGCAAACTTTTTTGAATTGAGAGTTGTGAACTCTTGGAACAATCTTCCAGAAAGTGTTGTGATGGCACCGAGTGTGAGCTCTTTCAAGACAAGACTTGACCAACATTGGAGCGGGTTCAGGTGCATTCAGGAGCTGGTGCATGCCCAGTACTTGCCAACAGTACGTAAGAGACGTGACCGATCGCCCAAGCGGCCAATGAGCCGATTTTTTGGTGAAGAGGATAAAAGAAAAGGAAAAGTAATCAGAGACGTGACCGATCGCCCAAGCGGCTAACGAGCTGATGAGTGGTGAAGAGGATAAAATGAAAAAAGTAAATATGGCCCCGGTTATCCTTGCCTCTTTGTTTGCCTTGTAAATGACAGGAAGGTGATCGTTAGAGTAATCTTTCAGGGCCGGTGGGTTGGCAGCGCGAGATCTCAACATAGACTTCAGCTTGAAGTCAACGGTAGCATTCGCGCCAAGCAGCAGCGTCAAGCGGTCTTTCGCTGCTTTAAAACCTGGCGCTCTTTTCTCCTCCTTGTAGATATAGGTCCTCTCAGGCTTCCTCTTCCAAAAGAGAGCAGTCTCATCCACATTAAAGACTTGTTTCGGTGAGTAACCTCCATGCTGATAATCAGTTCGAATTCTGGCGGGAATGTCTCGGCAGCAACCGTATCTGAACGGGCAGATTCACCAGTCATCTTAATATTGTGGAAGTTATAACAATGCTTAAATCGTTGAAACCATCCTCGGCTGTCCGTAAAGGTCTCTTCCTTCGATCCTTCTCCCTCTTCTGCCTCTAAGTCGTCAAACAGGGATCTGGCCTTATGCTGGATAACCATAAGGCTCACAGGGACATTGTGTTGATTCTGGTCCTCCATCCACATTGCCAGCATCTTTTCCACCTTCACTGTCACAGTGCTTCTAGTACGAGTTGTCTTAGTAGCGCTCAGAGAAGAACCACTTACAGCACTAACCTTAATCTTGTCAGCGTTGGTCCGGATAGTACGCACTGTTGTGGGGGTGAGACCAAGCACAGCGGTTATGTCCACAGCACGTTCCCCTTTTTCAAATTGGGTTAATACATCCATCTACAGAGCAAGGGTAATGGATACGTTGCCTCATCACTATTCTAGCATCAGTAGCACATGATGGGCGCTTGGAAGCCTTTTCGAATGGTTAAGAGTAGAGTTTTAGATCAAAAACATTTAAGCACGCACGAATGATGTGAAGTCGTAACAGAGACTGGCTTGGCGTCGCTTGGGGACGCTGTGACGTTCCGCGAGTGAGGGCAGCGTGTCGAGCCGAGAGAGCATAGTGGGGCCAGACAAGAGTGGGTAATGCGCCGTAGAAAGTTGTCCGTAACAACACAAAACGACGTAGTATCAGGTTGAGTTTAGCAGGAGGGAGATGTCTTCAGACCAAACCATTAACTACAGAGTATACACTAGTTTATTACTGTACTGTATAGGCTTTGACTTTGACTTTAAGAAAAGGAAGCAGAATATGCTGGCCTTAATTGTACAAAATTCTTGAGCAAATTACTTACTGAAATCTAATTTAGGCATCAGTACCTTAGATTATATTAAATGAGCAGTGCTGACAAATACAGTAGTGATCAATTAGATACTGTATAGGTACAGTACTCATTTTATATTTCATTAGTATTTTGTGAATTAAGCTTCCTATATCAGTTGTGTCACATTTCACACAGATGTTTAGTTTATTTTGTAAACCTATTTTGGATTACTACTGTATTTTAAATTTTAAATGTTGTGCAGGAGCTTCAAGTATAAGTCCAGCAATTTTTAGCCTTTTTTTCCGGATAAGTTTTATTTTTGTTAATTTTACTCTATTATTACAGTATGTGTGCAAATATAATGCTGTTGCATATCACCTTAGTTACTTTGTGATCTGAATATTTTGAAATATAGAATTACAACAAAATACGAAAATTGTGGAGCTCTGCTGGTAAGTAACCATACTGTACTGCACTTGCAAGACTGAAAAAATAAGAGTACAGGTACTTTATTGATACTTGTTCTTCTCAGGGTTCTCACTGGTGGCGTTCTCGCACTGCTCTAGAAAAGGCGCTGTTGGTGGGTTGGATACTCTTACTGGTGGTGGTAACAGTACTGGTGGCTGTTTTGCATATCCAAGCAAAGTCCCAGCACACTTTAAACAAGCTTCGTCCTCACACAGGTACGTTGCTAGACTATTATGTAGTTGCTACACTAACAAAAAATTGCTCATCAAACTTATGTATCATTAACTAGCTAACTAAAAACCTACAGTTCATTACTGTCAACAAAACTAATTTGATTTGATTTAAGATATTTTCCACTTTAAAGGTTAATACTGTCAATGAGTTCCAGTTTTGTAAATAAAGAATAGATTAATTTATGAATTTCTGTTTAATGGCTTGGTAGGGATAGTGAAGTGACCTGGGAAGCTGTCCCTCTATGCACATCAAACTAATCTGACTCTGATAATGTTAATATCTTAGTTGTCTGCCAAGACACGGGTTGAATGAACTACAGGACCAAATTCGCTGTGTAGAGTGGTGAGTTGACACTTGGGCTACAATTAAGTTAGGTTAGGTTATAATATAACCTGCTCCAAACCAAACGTCCGTGGCCAAAACATCCTACATTTGTATGGAGTTTGTGCACTTATCAGGCCGTTAGGAATAAAGTACAGGTATCGGAATTCTACCTCATTCTACAAAAGGCTTTAACTATGGTTTATGAAACTCAGTGGGTTATCCATGTTCCTTTTAATACAGTACTGAGTGGAGAACATTGGGCAGGTAAGTGAGTGACAATCATGATATTATACTACCACAGCCAGGACCACTCATTATTGAAAAATTTTTCATGTACATATCTGAATAGGATGAGTGAAGAAACACAACCTCATAGATTTTGTACTTGATGACTCATGACTGGTTGGATTAATTTGTTGATCTTGTTATCACATGAAAGATACCTTGCCTTTGATTACAGTACAGGTAAACCTCGATTTATGATGGGGTTTCTTTCCTAAAAACCTCATCATTTATCAAAATATCGTAAATCAAGTTCATTACAGTATAACATGGGGTTCAATGGGATACATTCCCAGCCAGTCCGACACATGTATGTACCGGTATCACCAAAAAAACAATTCCTGCACTAATAAAATAAATATGTATATAACAATCAAACAACACTCACCACATCATTAAAAACAAGCTTGGACCTCATCACAAATGTCCCCTTCGTGGCTAAGGGGACTCTTATAAGTGTAGTGGGGATGTCACTATGACACCCACGCAGCCTCCGGGAAGGCTGGAGACAGTGTGGAAGTCAGAATCCTAGGAGGGCCTTCCACTTTGGGGGCTGGAGGTGTAGGCTTTGGCCTGGCCTTAAAACGGGTGAAACTCCTGAGTGGGACTGGAGAAGTGTCAGATGAAGAGGACCCTGTGTGGCTGCTGGCCCTTGAAGTCGAAGGTTATGGCACTTTATATTCACAAAACACAAAGCAAAATTCACTTCACAATCACCAAAACACTTTGAACATTAGTGATGTTCTCACTATAAGGGGGGAAAAACACCGATGCTAAGTAACAACAATGATACTGACCGATAATTGTTGAGTTACCCGATCACGGGCAGATTCAGTCACCATTGAACAGAGGTCAGGACTGTAGTGCACCGGGTGGCTGTGTGGCGGATCGTGGATAGATGACGCTGCGGCTGACAAGTGGAGCGAGAGATGCATTCCAAATTAGCGTTTCAGCAAGTTTAGCCGTTTAATGGCCATCGTTAATGAGAATATTTTTTATCATAAACATGGAGGTGGTTTTAAAACATCACCATCGTTAAAGCAAAATACCCTGTATCATAAATCGAGACCGTAAATCAAGGTTTACCTGTACCTAACCAGTAAAGTCATCGGCTGGGATGTTCTTGTATGTGTTTGATTTGTTTTGTCATAAAGAATTAAGCACAGATAAAATGATTGTTATTAGCATGTTTCTATCCTTGTTAGCAGCAAGATTACAATCTTTACAAGAAATGTCTGGGACATAAGCCAATACGTTTGTTAACTGTCAACTGTGGTGTCCTAATGAAACTCTCTACAGTATGAGTAAATCTTGTCAAGGAATCTTTATGTTGGACCAGAGTTTAATTGATTAGATACACTGGAAGATGAAGCAACCTAGAGAAAACCTAGAAATGAGTAAAGTTGTCCATAAATCTTTCACAGGGTTCCAAGGACTTGATCAGCATCTGAAACTTTATATTAATTCTTGGTGTTTTAGGTGAGGAGTTATTGTTAAATTGTATTGTAGGTAATGAAAGATTACATTCCATAAAGGTAGACAAGAAGGAATTGTCTGTGGTATACAAGCTACACACTGAGTTACAAGATCTGTGAAAGCTCCTTGCTTCAATTTTCAAGGAGACTTTTGCCTTGATAAAGTCTATTGAACTATCCATGGTAACATACAAAGGATACCGGTAACCCATTCAATTGCAGAGTCTCAAACCTGTACAACCTCCTCTTCTCCTTTTTACTGAACTGGTTTAAACCAGGGAAACAAGCAAGAGAACTCATTCCCAGTTTCCTCCCTTGAGTGAGTTCCAGAATTGTTTGGGACCTGAGAGCTGGAGTATAGTTTCACGTGTGGTTAGATCAATTTTGAGCAAAATAAGTTTTATAGACATTACTGTATTCTGACCTGGCTAGCCCTACCCATCCTTGAGACGGTCATTAAATTTGTGCCGATTCTTACAGATTCAACTAAGATGGAAAGATTACAATGTATTTGTTCCTTGTTGCAATACTGAGCATTGTACTTTAGAATAATGTCTTCTTCTGTTAAGAAATGCATGCCCTATAGGCATTGGCAGGTCCTGTTTGTCGGGCTTGGCAATGGTAACTAAATAAAGCAACACTGGTCTGTTATGGATCTCTTTAGCCATAAGATGATATATCATACTTAAGTCTCCCATTTTTATATTCTTGTCTCTTGTGTAACATATTGTGTGATGGTGTAGTGACACAAGTGAATCAATTTATAGATGGATATATGTTGCCCTGTGCAGTGGTGCTTGTGTTACATGTTTCACCCCCTACACCAGAGCTACACTGCAGTTGGTACAATACTTGAGAATGCCTGTCTTACTCCATACTAGTTACATACAGGTGTACAGTACTAAATTACCTTTAACTTAAGGTTTGGAAAAAGCAAATTAGTTTTTTGCATTTTATAGAAAATATATTTTACCCACTTTCACATACGTAATTAGAGTTATATGATTCTTTGTTTTTCCAAAGTAAAGTACTGTACAGGTACATAACAGTTCAATATTTCTCTTCCCTAGGTGCTGGTGATGTATGCTTAACCCCAGAATGTGTTATGGTCTCTGGGTCTGTGCTCAGTAGCATGGAAACTAAAGTAAATCCATGTGATGATTTCTACACGTATGCTTGTGGGGGATGGGTGAAGAAGAACCCTATTCCTGAAGGCAAACCAGTGTGGGGCACACTAAGCAAACTGGCTTCAGACAATCAGATGATTATGCGTAATGTTCTAGGTATGCTGTCTGTGTTGTACATTCTGTATACACTTATGCAGTTTTGACTGGGGACATATCATGAGTCCAGTATCCTTTCTTTTATACAGCTCCTCCACGACTTACGACCTACTCGACTTACGACCATCCGCACTTACGACCTGCTTCAGTCATACCAAAATTTGGTCAAATTACATATTTTCGAGTCCTTAAGTCAGTACACAGACAAAATTTTCGTTTGTAATTCACTTTAAAATGGCTGGCAAGCTTAAAAGTGAGTGTTTTGTGGTGCTGAGAAGAAAAACAGACACCCATTTTAGATTTTCTATGTATTATTTAAGCATTTCCGACTTACGACCATTTCGACTTACGACCTGGATTTGGGTCCCTAACCCCGTCGTAAGTCGGGGAGGAGCTGTAATTCATTACATTTATCTGCTTAGAAGAATTTTAATCAGATTTATTTTATAAAATATATATCGTATGGCATACATACAATACAAGCAGTCTCCAAGTTACGAATGCCCAACTTACGAACATCTGCAGTTTTTAGAGGATTCCAATGTATTCATCACAAGAATCTGTAACTAAAATCCCATTTTTTATATTGCTTTCATTATTCTATATTGTTTAACATCACTTTATTTACAGTATTTACAGGTATTTACATTATTTATGTATGGGATATTACAGTGTTGTTATTTTGTATGGGCAGGGTTGTAACTAAAATCCCAATTTTTACATGGCTGTATTGTTTAACATAACTTTATTTACAATTTTTACATTATTTGTTATGTATAGGATACTACTGTTTTTTTGTATGGAAAAGGTTCTGCTTTAACCTAACCTAAACCATGACATTAACACTGTTCCGACTTAGGAACAGGGTCCAGGAATGTAACCTGTTCGTAACCCAGGGACTGCCTATAATTAGAAATTGGTTGTACAGTACAGTAATTTGAAGTTGAACTTGAGAATAAACTTACATCTCATTTTTTATACAATGGTAAACTTTGATTATGTCAGTTTACACACAATGCATTATCTAATCTCATGGGAAAATTGTGTCTGCAGCCTAACTTGAATGTTATATCAAAGGTCAAGGACAAAGTGGGACATTTAAAGTAAGAGAGAGGGGAAGTGATCGATGATAGTGAGAAAATATGCAAAGCATTAAACAGCTACTTCTTATCAGTTTTCACAGAAGAAATTCACGAGGAAATTTCAGAGGTGGAACTGATATTTAGGGGAAATGAAGAAGAGAAATTAAAGAATAACACTATCAGAAAAGAGGATGTTCTTAAGAAGATAAGTAAATTAAAGAAGACAAAATCCCCAGGACTGGATGAAATTTTCCTTAGAGTTTTGAAAGAGTGTAAGGAACAGATTAGCGGACCCCTCGTAAATTTATTTACAAAATCATTAGACACGGGAGTTGTGCCAGACCTGTGGAAACAGGCAAATGTAGTACCCTTATTCAAAAAGGGAAACAGAGCATCAGCTTCAAATTACCGGCCGATTAGTTTGACGCGAGTAGTGGGGAAATTTCATGAATCAATTACAGTATAGCAAATAGCATCCGATGGCATTTAGAGAAAAACAAATTAATCTACGACTCTCAACATGGGCTTACAAAGGGAAAATCTTGTCTAACAAATCTGCTGACGTTTTTTAGGAAAGTCTTCGAGGTAGTAGATAATGACGAAAATTACGATGTTATTTACTTAGACTTTAACAAAGCGTTTGACAGAATACTGCATCAGAGGCTGCTGAGAAAAGTTATGGCTCATGGTATCGAGGGGAAAGTTTTAGATTGGACAAAATCATGGCTCACCGATAGAACACAGAGGGTCAGCGTAGATGGTGTTAAATCTGAATGGGGCTGTGTAACCAGTGGGGTTCCCCAGGGGTCAGTACTGGGCCCACTTTTGTTCATAATCTACAAACAATCTAGATACTGGGATCAGCAGTGACATAAACAAGATTGCGGATGACACCAAAATAGGCCGGCAGATTAATTCAGGGCAGGATGCAAATGCACTACTGGAGGATTTAAATAAACTGCAGGAGTGGTCAGAAAAATGGCAAATGAAATTCAACACCAGCAAGTGCAGCGTACTTAATATTGGAAGAACAAATACTGTCAATGTACAGTACGGGTAGTCCCCGACTTACGACTGACTCAACTTACATCCATCCGCACTTACGACCTGCTCTGACCGTACGACCGCCGCAGTCGTGACCAAAATTTTTTTCAAATGACGCGCGTATTTTCTATAGCAAAACGTTTCCGTCCCGGGCAAGAGCGTGGCTGGCTTGGATCACCGCGTGGGTACACTCACTCAGTACAGCGCTTAGTTGGTGTTTGGCTATCGTATCCTATACTGATCGCGCTGTGTACTTACGTTATTATCGTATTTAATTGACTTTATAATGACTGGAAAGTGTACAAGTGAGAGTGCTGGTGGTGCTCAGAAGAAAAGGAGACAGGCAATTACTTTTGAGATGAAAATGAAGATAATAATGCAATATGAGAATGGTAAAACTGTAGCAACAATCTCACGCGACCTAGGTTTCTCGCACTCGACCATATCCACTATTCTGAAGGACAGGAACGTATTCGTGAAGTAGTGAAAGGAACAACACCTATAAAGGGAACTATAATTTCGAAGAAAAGACAAGGTCCTATTCACGATATGGAAAAATTATTGGTGATATGGATAGAAGACCAAATACAGAAGCGTGTACCCTTAAGCTTTCTAACCTTACAGGCTAAAGCAAGAAGCCTGTTCCAAAGCCTGAAGGAGCAGGCAGGAGATGAATGTGAGCAAACCTTTACAGCAAGTCATGGGTGGTTTAACATTTAAAAAATGCTACAGTTTACATAATGTCAAGGTGAATGGAGATGCAGTTAGTGCTGATGTTGGTGCTGCCAAAGCTTTTAAGGAGGAGTTAGATGATGATTGTGGAAGGAAATTATTTGCCTGAGCAAATATTCAATGTGGGTGAGACTGGATTATTGTGGAAGCGCATGCCTGAGCGGACATACATCCACAAAGAGGCGAAAACAATGCCAGGATTCAAGGCATTCAAGGACAGAATTACACTTCTGTTGAGAATGTTGCTGGTTTCAAGCTGAAGCCTTTCATGATTTATCATTCAGAGAGCCCCAGGGCTTTTAAACATGTCAGCAAGCACACACTGCCAGTGTTTTATCGCAATAACAAGAAAGCCTGGATGACCATAGTACTGTTTGAGGATTGGTTCATAAATTGTTTCATTCCTCGAGCCAAGGAGTATTGTCTGCAACAACGGATTCCATTCAAGATTTTGCTGATTTTGGATAATGCTCCGGGACACCCACCACACCTGGACGACATGCACCCTGATGTTAAGGTAGTGTACATTCCACCTAACACTACCTCTGTCATCCAACCCATGGATCAAGGTGCTCTTGCTGCCTTTAAAGCGTATTATTTACGTACGACCTTCGCTCAGGCTGCTGCTGCTACTGAAGGTGAGAAAATGCTCAGAGAGTTTTGGAAGGAGTACAACGTTTTGTCATGTAAAAGAACATTAGTGCAGCATGGGATCAGGTTACAAAACATTGCATGAATGGAATATGGAAAAAAGTCCTGAAAAGATATGTGACCAGTTTTAGAGGATTTAATGAAAATGAAGTTATTTCGGATATTAGTAACAAGATAGTGGAGTTTGGTAAACAGCTTCAGTTAGAAATTGATAATGAAGATGTTGAACAGTTGGTTGAAAGTGTAGCAGAAGAGCTCAGTAACGAAGATCTCATTGAACTGGAAGCACACAAAGATGCAGAGGAAGAAGCCAGTCTAAATGTAGAAGGACCTGCACCCCCCAAAAATTTTTCAGTGAAGCAAATGGCAGAGGTATTTGCTACAATTAATAAAGGGATGCAAATGTTTGATGGCATGGATCAAAATTATGAGCATTTTGCCAAAGTTGATAGAATGATCCAACATGCACCTGCTTGCTACAGAGAAATTTAGAATGAAAAGAAAAAGCAAACTGTGCAGTCTAAATTGGACATCTATTTTAAGAAGTCCCCCAGTGCTGTCTCCTCACGCCTCACCAGTGCTGCCTCTTCACTCCCTCAAGATGATCCAATACCTTCAATCAGAAAGTTTCCACAGTACATAAACCTGTCTGAAGAAAGCGACATTGATGACCCACCCAGCCCTGTCTCCTCCTCTGTTTCACCCAATTAATATAGTCTCCATGTATACCTGTAAATAGAAAATTATGGGGGCCCCATGTGCATTCAGCTGACTACATTAAAGGTAAGTGCTCAGTCACACTGTATCCATTCCTCATTATTTATTACTTTTACTGTACTGTATTTCATTGTAGATTTCTTTATTTATTTATTTATTTTTTTTTTTTAATCTATGTCGGACTTACGACCATTCTGACTGACGACCTGAATTTGCGTCCCTAACCCCGTCGTAAGTTGGGGAGCACCTGTATACAGCCTTAACAACATCAACCTAGAGAAATCTACTTGTGAAAGAGACTTAGGGGTACTTGTAAGCCTGGACCTACGGCCTAGAAAACAGTGCGTTAATGTTCGAAATGAGGCAAACAGGGTATTAGGTTTTATATCTAGAAGTGTAAGTAACAAGAGTGCAGAGGTCTTATTGCAACTACAGTGATTCCTCGGTTAACGAGCGCCTCGGTTAACGAGATTTCGGTTAACGAATTACCTTCCATAAGATTCTTAACTTCGGTTAACGAGCATTCCTCAATTAACAAATTCCTTACGAGCGGCCCTCAACATGTTTTCGCTTGCACACTAGCTTTCGTATTAGTCCGCCAATACAGTAATCGGTTCTAGGGCTTAAATTTCTTACCATTTTAGTAAATATCAAGAAGGTTGTACCATTCAATCATTTTAAAAGTTTTATATTAAATTTTTTAGTCATTTTAACAATTATTGAACATAATTCAAGTACTTGTACAGGAAACTAGTTTTATGCGTGCCAAACAGCCTGTCAACACACCAAACAGGCGTCAGTCTCTGTGTCTTTTCAGTGGAAGTAACATCTTGCTTCAGACTCTCTTCAACATAAACGCTTTTTTCTGTGTTTTCAGTCAAATTATTGGTCATTTTAAAATTTCTTTTACATATTGATGATATATAGCGCAATGCAGTGTTAATTTAAAGAAAATATTCTTTATTTACAGCAATTAAACATAAAATATCACGTGTTGAAATTGTTTTTGAATCCAGCATGGGTCCCAAGAAATCTAGAAAAGCGATTTCAATTCAGGTGAAACAGGAAATAATTAGAAAACATGAAGAAGGCATTAGAACAAATGTGCCTAGCAAAGAATATGGCATGTCAACATCAACTGTGTCGACAATTCTTGCACAGAAAGACAAATTCAAGGAAGTGAAAGTGAGAAACAAATCTACCAGAGTGTTCAAAGGTAGATCCATAATAGCAGAAACAGAGAGGTTACTTCTCATTTGGATTAGGGAAAAACAGATGAAAGGTGATTCAGTTTCTACTGAATTTATTTGTGAAAGAGCCAGGGAAATATAAGAAAACATTTAAAGGTAGATCAACCTGGTTCTTCAGGCACAGACTTTGAAGATTTTAGGGCCAGCAAGGGCTGGTTTGAAAAATTTAAGAAAAGTGACATATTTAGTGTTGTTAGGCATGGTGAGGCTGCCAGTGCTGATAAGGAAGTGGCAGCAAAGTTTTTAGTGGAATTTAAAGAACTGATGGATACAGAAAATTATCTTCCACAGCAAGTGTTCAATGTGGACGAAACTGGGCTGTTCTGGAAAAAGATGCCCAAAAGAACATTCATCACCAGAGATGAAGCCTCTTTACCTGGGCATAAACCCATGAAAGACCGTCTCACTCTATTGCTTGGTGCCAATGCTTCAGGGGATTTCCGACTGAAGCCTATGCTTGTCTACCACTCTGAGAACCCCAGGGAGTTCAAGCAACAAAAAGTTGTAAGAGGACGGCTTGGAGTTTATTGGAAATCCAACCGTAAGGCATGGGTAACAAGACAGCTCTTTAATGAATGGGCTGTTGAGGTGTTTTGCCCTTCTATGAAGAGCTACCTAACCACCAATAAACTCCCTTTAAAGGCTCTTCTCCTTATGGATAATGCCCCTGGTCATGACCCTCAACTTGCCAGAACTTTGGAGTCTCAATTTGACTTTGTCAAAGTGTTGTTTTTGCCTCCCAACACTACATCAATCATACAGCCAATGGATCAGAATGTGATCAGCAACTTTAAGAAGCTGTACATGAAGAAAATGTTCAGGAGGTGTCATCAGGCAACTTCCACTGATCCTGAACTAACACTGGCACAGTTCTGGAAGACACAGTTTAACATCCTGGAGGCTGTAAAATTGATTGTGTCCTCATGGCAAGAAGTCTCCACTAGAACCCTCAATTCTTCATGGAAAGCACTGTGGCCATCAGTAGTCCATGATTTTGAGGGATTTGAGGATGAAACAGAGTTGCACCAGGAGATTGTGTCCATTGGTCAGACATTGGGCCTTGAAGTGGAGGAGGAGGATGTAGAAGAGCTTGTGATGTCTCATGAACAGGAACTTACTCCTGAAGACCTGCAGCAACTGGATGAGATGTTAGAGGCTGACAGTGGTGAGGAGGAAACGGAAAGTGATGACCATATGTCAACTTCAGAGTTGAAAGATGTTGTTCACCACTGGGAGAAGTTCAAGAAATTGGCTTCAAGGCACCCAGATGTGGAAAAATCTGAACTAGCTTTGTGTCATGTTGAGGACACAGTGGTCTCCTTCTTCAAACATCAGTTAATGATGAGGAGAGATGCTCCACAGACAAAAATTGACAGTTTCTTCAGTAAAAGGCAGCGGGAACAACATGCAAGCCCTCAGCCTTCCACTTCAAGAAGGAGAGAGGATGTTCCTGGTGGAGAATCTGTCAGTGCAGAGGTTCCTGACATTTTCATAAAAGGTAACTCACCTTCCAAGAAGCAGTAAAATGCTTCTCCTCCACCTCCACTTCCTTCTCTTCTCCCTTCTCCTCCTCCACCTCCCACTTCAAATTCACATCATCATCATCATCATCATCATCCAGGAGCCTTCTACACACACACCTCAAAGTAAGTGTACTCTACTACCTTTTTTGTTGACTTTAGGCAATTTTTGGTGAGCTGGAACCAATTACCCAAAAACCCATTGAAACAATGGTTTCGGTTAACGAATTTTTCGGTGAACGAGTAACCTTCTGGAACAAATTGTGCTAGTTAACCGAGGGACCACTGTATATCTTGCACTAGTCAGGCCGCTCCTCGATTATATGGTTCAGTTCTGGTGCCCTTATTATAGAATGGATAATAATTCACTGGAGTCGGTGCAGCGAAGAATGACAAAAATAATTTCAGGACGTAGAAACCTTCCATATCAAGATAGGTTAAAGAAACTTAACTTGCATTCCCTAGAAAGGCAAAGAGTGCTGGGAGATATGATAGAAGTTGTAGTGGACGTCTCCCCTACAAACTGCGTATCGCATTCCAATGTGCCGCCTTCCCTAGCAACCAACCAGATGTTACCGTATCTTAGCAACGGAACCAGTCACCGGCGACTTTCTGGGTTTTCCCAACATGACTCATAGAGGACTGGCGGCTGCTGCTGGGTGTATATAAGCTCTGTCTCTCCATTGAGATTCATTCTGACCATTCTTCTTGAACAAGCAACACCTCCTCCTCCGCAACTGCCTGGCTGCCTTCGATTCTCCTCGCCTGCCTGGCGGTCCTTGCTCCCGCCAGCGAGCATGGCGACCCATCAGCTGTCCTTCTCTGAGCTTCCTCACCAACCAACTCTCATTCTGCCCAACTTCCTGAACAAGCAACACCTCCTCCTCCGCCGCTGCCTGGCTGCCTTCGATTCTCCTCGCCTGCCTGGCGGTCCTCGCTCCCGCCAGCGAGCATGGCGACCCACCAGCTGTCCTTCTCTGAGCTTCCCCACCAACCAACTCTCATTCTGCCCATCTTCCTGAACAAGCAACACCTCCTCCAGCAAGCTCCACGCTGGCCCCTCACCACACGGCACCTCCAGCACCAGACTGTCTATCATATAACTTATATATTATACAAGAAAACCACATAGAGTTTCCTTCCATCCTGAGTGCTAGACAACATTAATATCTCGATACCCCTACAAAGTATTTAAGTGGGTGAAAGGAATCATAAAGGAAATATAGATATACTAGTTCTTATAATATCCAAGCAGGATAGGACTCGTAGCAACGGATTTAAGTTGGATAAGTTTAGGTTTAGGAAGGAGATAGGAAGGAACTGGTTGAAAAATAGGGTGGTGGATGAGTGGAACAAGCTTAGCAACTTTGTAGTAAGTGCTGGATTCATGGATGATAGAGAGTGGTGGTAACTCTCGACAGGAGCTGGCATGCACAGGCCAACCGGCATATTGCAGACTCCTTATTTTCTTATGTTATGTTCTAAACATGAGGGATATATCCTCTTGTGGGAAGGAAGAATTTGTTTATACAGTATAGGGATTAGGTGGTCAAAGGTGAGGGTCGTGATAGGATTTTATTGGAAGATTTCTGCCCCATAAGTTATGGTTTGTGTCATATTCACACATTCCAAAATATATCTTTTTAATTTTGTGTTTGACAATGTGACACATTGACCAAAGGACTTTGACAACCATACCGAGACAACAGGAGTATCGGTGTTCATTTCAAAATCTATCGGACCCGTCTGTAAAGATACTTTTTGGGTGTGTGTACATGCCATAAACATGAAGGATAGCCCCTTCTTGGAGTTGGGAAGAACTGGTGATTTTGAGGTAAAAAGCTAAAGGTCAAGATAATTTTAGGTCCTTCTTATGAAATATTTTCCATACATCATTTGAGGTCTTGTATCACACACTCACTAACATTAATAAGTGAGTCCTCCCTGACAAAAGGATTGAGCCCTGTTGAATGGTAGAAAAGAACCTTATTTTGAAAATGAAAGGATAAATGTTTAAGTAATTCTCAAGTTTCACTGAAAAAGAGTTTTTACAGGTCACTTAAAATTCTCTGTCATAAGACATTCACCATACTGGTAGGGAAGGTTCCCCTTTATGTAAGGATGAACTGCTTTTGTCCTTGGGGGTCATGGTGATATATCAGGCACCTTCCATGGTTCTCTTGTATTACCTACACCTGTACTATGAGTATACTGTAGTGCTGTTTCCAAATTCCTCCTTCTTATCATTCCCCCATACTCCCTGTCACTCTATTTTTGTGTGAAAATTAATTGCATAAATAACTTACTTTGTATTTATCGGGTATGAATCTACACAATAAAGTAACTGCTCTTCCACTCCCAAATTTTTGCTTTTTTTAATCCCTAATTCTGCTTTAAAAGCAGATTTTATCACCTTATACTGTATTTTAACTAAGTACTTTACTTGCAGAGTCCACAGCAAAGACAGAGAGCAAGGCAGAGGAGAAAGCTCGTGTGTTTTATCGCTCCTGTATGGATGCCAATAAAACCATCGAGAAACTTGGTAGCAAGCCAATTCTCAAGCTAATTGAGGTAACAATGCTAAATAATATCCTCAATGAAATACTATCATTGCTTAATACAGAAATGGTTAGTTAAGGTTTTTGCTTATTATTCTTATTAAAAAAAATTAGTCATTGACTGGCTGAAAAATAGACATACCTGTACTTTATAAAATGATATTAATTTTTATGTTTTGTTTCTTCTTCTTTTGTGTGTAGGATATGGGTGGCTGGTCCATTACCGGAAACTGGTCTGATGAAAACTATAGTTTAGAAGATGACGTGATCAGAAGTAAAATCGATTTCAACTCTGGTGCATTGTTCTCCTGGGGGGTTGCTGAGGATGACAAGAATTCCTCAAGTCACATCTTGCAGGTAAGTTTGTATAATTAAAGATAATTTTTTTTCTAATATACTAAAATTTGTTTTTCACTTGTATTTATTCAGACTCAATTAAGTGAGGAAAGTAGAAACAAATAGAAAATGTAACAGTTCATTTACTAATATCAACTGATGAGAGATACAGTGTGAGTACTGTACATGTATTACCAAGATAAAATGTGTTGGAGACTGTTAAACCTTCCAGAGTTGAGTGAGAATTTTTTTACCTCCCTTACATAGCTAAGTTGACATGAATACACAGTCACACACACACACCAACTACTGAAAAATTCTCATCCCACAGTTCTCAAGTTCCAAATAAAGATCTTAGATTAATATAGGACTAATAGTGACTTCACATACTAGCTATTCAAATGATCTCGAGATTGGCAAATATTCTCTTAATAACACTTTCCTTGAATACTGTTGATAGATTATTTACTGAAGGCAGCGCAACAAGTGGGGGCAGCAGTGAGGAAAGCAAATTGTTATTTGAGAATTAGAAAACATTCCTTAGAATAAAGATAGGAAAATGCTCCTTCAACTGTACAAATTTTAAATACATCTCTGTCTAGGTTACTGTAAACAGGCATGGAAACTCTACCTCCAAAAAGATCTCACATTCCTAGAAAAGGTGTAACATAGAGCAACCAAGATTTTTCCAGATCTATGTCATCTTGATTATCAAAGACTGATGGCCTTAGGACTAGCATCCATTCAGACAAGGCACAATAGGGCAGATCTCATTGAAACATCAAAATCCTGAAAGGGATAGAAAACGTAAACCCAGGACACCTCTTCCTAATGTCACGCAGCACCAATGTGAGAGGACATAATGGACAAGTTGTCGGTTGGAATTTTTTCCTAAGATGACAGGTCAATGGGTAAAGAAAACACTTAAATTCTGTATGGTAATGATATTTAAAAAAAGGCCAAAAAGTGAAGTAAAAAAATAAGGGTTAAAGTAGCTAAAAAGTCACGTGGCTGCAAAAAGCTCTGTGATTGGTTGTGACGCCACAGGTTGGCTCAAGCCGTCGAGCAGGAGTCTGGAGGCAGCCAGCTGTGGTGTATGTGTTGTTACCAGCAGAAATACAGGACTTGTGGTCATATACAATGTTGATATGCACAGGCATAACTTATTTTTAGGTTAAAATAAATTACTGCTCAAGTATCATCGTGTGTATTTACTTACTGGGTGCTAAAATGATGCAAAAGACCGATAACTCCAACATGGAAATTTTCATCACTGTTCTCTATTTCATGTCTGGAAAAACGTAAGTTTTCGTCACTGATGTCTATATTTAATGTTGTGGAAGGACTAGGGACGACCATGGCCAGGGGATGGGCTTGAGATGACCAGATGAAAGATGTAATTTAACGTGCTTCATAGCTGGATGGCGGAGCTCTTAATAGTACTCTACTATCATACACACATCTACTTTTTGTAAATTTCTTTCATCTGCCTTGATGAACCCCTGGAAGTAGTTGTCCAACCTTTTCGGCTGATCGATTTTGTAAATTAATATTATTAGATAATTAATTGTGCTTTACTGTGCAACACAGTAATGCTATACTGAATATATAAATATTACTAACCACATTAACTAATTCAATGCATATTAGCTGCCCATACTACAAATTTCATAGTATAAACATTCCAAACAATATTGGTATTGTTTTGATTTTGGTCATCTGGGGAACCTTAAGATTCTAACTATGGGATAAAGTACTTAAACTATAAGACACAATATCTCTATGGGATTTCTGTCATATATTAGGTTAGGTTAGGTTAGGGTAACTCTTATCCTCTTCACCACTGATCGGCTCGTTAGCCGCTTGGGCGATCAGTCACGTCTCTGTTACGCACTGTTGGCAAGTACTGGGCATGCATTGGCTCCTAAATGTATCTGAACCTGCTCCAGTGCTTGTCAAGTCTGGTCTTGAAAGAGCTCACACTCGGCACTGTCACAACACTCTCTGGCAGATTGTTCCAAGAGTTCACAACCCTTACTCTGAAAAAGTTACCCCTCACAGTTTTCTGGGCTTGCGGCTTCTTCAATCTTGAGCTGTGATCCCTTGTGGGGCGAGTGTCCGCCAGCTCCAGGTAAGGGCACTCGACTGAGAAGTGCCCTTTGAGATGTTTTTACACCTCAAATAGGTCCCCTCTTTCCCGTCTGCAGTATAAGCTAGGCAATTTCAGGTGCTCTAATCTCTCAGGGTAGCTGAGGTGTCGAAGTGCAGGCACCAGTCTGGTGGCCCTCCTTTGAACATTTTCAACCAACTGACAGTCCCTAGCATATCTTGGGGACCAGACGGGGTGACAGTACTCCAGATGGGGAAGCACTTCACTCTTGAAGATCGTTACGAGGGATAGACCGTCTCGATATCTTAACGACCTTCTTATGAGACCTAATATTATAATTTATGATGAGTTATATTATAAGTTATAAGATTAGCTTAAGTCTTTGCTATCTAAACTTCCCTCTTTTGGTTTCTCTCCCCCATTTTGTTTTCTCATCTCTAGCTTCCTTGAGAACCGATCAATGGCAGTTGTTGTCGAGGGATCGATTTCTCGCTCTTTCTCTACCAATAGTGGCGTCCCACAGGGTTCTGCTCTTTCACCAACTCTCTTCCTTCTTTTTTCAATGATTTACTTCACACTACAACTAATGCTATCCATTCTTACGCTGATGATTCTACTCTTCACTCTTCCTTACATTTTCCCCTTCCTCCTAACTCTCAAACTAGATCTGTTTCTAGAACTGATATTATTACTTCTATCAATGCAGATCTGTGCAGCATCTCTGAATGGGGAGGTACAAACTTGGTTAAGTTCAATAGTAATAAAACTCAATATTTACTAATTACACTTTGTAAATTAGACTATCTCCCACCAATTACATTTCAGGACGCTATCATCCTCCCAAATTCTGAAATAAATATGTTAGGCTCACCATTTCCTCCAATATGTCCTGGAAATCACACATCCTTAGTACAACTAAAGCTGCCTCCCGAAAGTTGGGAATGCTGTACAGTGCAACTTTGTGTGACGCGTTGTCTGACTTGGGGTGTCTTTGAGCGAACCATACACTTAATATTACAATTTATGTATCCTTCCTGTCCATGATTTACAACAATAACTGTAGGTAAAAAGTTACAATATTATACTAATAACACTGTCATGTATTGATACTATGACTAGTTACCAAGATACAGAGCACGATGAACTTAACATGATAATGATAGTGAAGCCTGGAAGGGTTTATATCATAACTTGTGTGTTCGTGCGTATGTTGCCCCGTGAGAGTTACCGTAGGCCTCCATGTGCCCAGGTGGGATGGTTAAAGTATTACACTATAGGTATGTCAAATGAGGAGTGACTGATCCACTTGTAATATAAGGTTTTTGAAATATGGAGTTAAATTAAACACTATTTTTCATATAGTTACGCGAATGATGGGAAATAAAAGATAAGATGGGGTGTGGTGTAAGCGCTGTAAACGTTGTGTGGATTCACTGGGTGGTTGGGAAGTGTTTATTTCCATTCATACTTTCGTAACTACAACCTATGGTAATTTTTCTTCGTCTTCATATATAATGAAAATAATGCAGAGTATAAAATGCCATATACAATATTTATACGTAATATCATCTATACAGCCGTACAATGACTGTGTGTGTTCGTGTGTGTGTTGCCTCGTGATCGTTAAAGTGGGCCCCCGTCCAGAAAGGACACTGTACTAACCTCCAGCACTGACCCAGGTGGGCTAGAGATTATGGTTTCCAAGTGTACATTCAACCGAATAGTGCCCTCTGAGATGTTTATACACTTCAATTAGGTCGCCCCTTGCCCATCTGTAGCATAAGCTAAGCATTTGCAGACATTCTAATCTCTCTGGGTAACTGAGATTCCATAGAGAAGGCACCAGTCTGGCGGCCCTCCTTTGGACATTATCAATCAATTGATTGTCTCTAACATACCTCGGGGACCAGACAGGGTGACAGTACTCCAGACGTGGAAGCTCTTCACTCTGAAGATCTTGAGGAGTGATGTTCCATCCAGATATCTAACCGACATTCTTATAAGACCTTCTAGTTTCGGTGCCTCATTGACCTTCTTCTCACAATGGCCCGAGAACTTAAGTTCATTGTCGACAGACACACCCAGGTCCTTTTCATATTCGGTCTCAATAAATGTAGTTAATTCGTCCTGTTGGGACATGTGATACACCTCCTTACAGTTGGTGTGACCCAGATGTAGCCTCTTGCACTTCGTGACATTGAATCTTAGCAGCCATTTCTTTGACCATTCTCGAAGCTCACAGAGATCTTTCTGTAGTTCTTCACAGTCTGTTTGGTTCTTAATTTCTCTGAATCACTTGGCATTGTCTGCAAACATTTGTATGGAGGAGTGTATAGCTTCTGGCATATCATTTATGAAGCAAACTAACAACAATGGGCCTAATACACTGCCCTGTGGTACCCTGCTTGTCACAGGTGCACATGACAATATTGTGCCATTTACCAACACATGCTGTTTGCGGTCATGCAGAAAGTCTCGGATCCACACCAATACACTTCCCTGAATCTCATGCCTTTTCAATTTAATTCTAAGCCCTTTATGGGGTACACTGTCGATATTTCCACCTTGTTCTAGAATTTGTGTCTAAACATCTAGTACCTTGGTGTAATTGTGTCGAGCAGGATCGTTCCGGCATAAAACCGTGTTGGCAGTCCTTTACAAGGTTGTTTTGTAGTAGATGTTCCATCATGGCATCTCTTATAATGCTCTCTAGTACTTTACACACTGTGCTAGTCAGGTTCACTGGCCTATAATTATTTGTGAAGAGACGATCGCCCTTCTTGAATATCGGACTCACATAAGCCATTTTCCAGTCTTCGGGGACCTTTTGCTCATCCAGGCATTTGCAGAACTGGATCTTAAGGGGAAGAAAGCTCGTTACACAGTTTTCTTAACACTCTGGGGTGTACCATATCAGGGCATTTCACACAGTGGGTGATAGACCTATGGAATGGTTTACCAGTTCAAGCTGTGGAATCAAGAACATTACTGGGTTTCAAAATAGCCCTTGACAAAATTAACAAAAATAATAGAGGGATCCTACACAGTCCACTGGCTTTCTTTCCATGGCTTAGCCACCTCTAGTGGATGACCATTAGGTAAATAGATAAAGAAACAGAATGTGTGTGTGTGTGTGTCATATAGTGTAGTACAGTACAGTTCGTATATGTAAAAAGAGTTTGAACTAATATTTTTCTTTGTTGGTTTTTTATACAGTTTGATCAAGGTGGTCTGACCCTCCCAGCCCGCAACTACTACTTAAACGAATCAGAAAAAGAAGTTGTTGATGCTTACATTGAATATATAACAAAGGTATTGTAGTTGGAAAGAACAGGACAGGGCCTACAAAGGATATATACTGTATTATAATGGAATGAATGGTGAAAATTTGTTGAATTATTTAGAGTGAATAGATATGCTATGTACAGTCACCCACAACAGTCATGTTACCTCTCCTCCTGCACCACAAACCCTGAGATTCAGATTCATGAACCCAAAGCAGTAAACATTGATGTACAGTATTATTCTGTCCATAAATGCTTCGGATTCATGAGTCTGAATCTCAAGGTTCATGGTTCAGGAAGAGAGGCAACAGGACTTTTGTGGGTAACTGTGCTTGTAGTCAATGAGGTAATGAAGTGGAAAAAATATATAGTTGTGAATGATTTACTGGAATGATGTGCAGAAGAATCAACGCTAATGATGTAAAAGTGAACAGTACCAGGTAGGGCGAGAATGATCAGTTGACTAGGACTAGGTAATTTTCACACTATTTCTGAAGACTATGTTGGTGCTGTTTATACTTAAAAAATAAATTTGTTTAACATTTTTTCTTTATAATTTATGAAAGTATTAAAATGATGGGAAGCTTATTGATATTATCTCTGTCATGATTTCTGACATACAACTTTGCAAAAATAAAATTGCATTTCTTGAATCAAAATTTTATACCACTTTTGTGTAAGAGGTAAATCTTTATATTTATAAGTTATTGTATTTGATGCCCCAGGTTGGAGTGCTGTTAGGGGGAGAGGAAAATGCCACCAGACAGGCAGCCACAGCCATATTGAAAATAGAGCATCAGCTGGCTGTCATCACAACCCCAGACGACGAGCGTAGGAATGATGAGGATCTCTACCACATTAAGACGATTGATGAACTAAACGCTATGGCACCATTTGTTAGTCTTTTATAGCTATTTATACAGTATAGTCTCGATTTCCTCGGATTTCCTTTACGCGTTTGGTCATTTACGCGGCACCTGGTCAGACCGGCAATTATTAGTTACGCGGTACATTCCATCATTTATGAGGGAAACGGCGCGGTCAGGGTGCGCACAAGGTCGCCCGGTCAACAAAACATTACCGAGTTCTTCACCCGCCACCCACCACACCCAGCCCAAGTCAACGGTAGTGATAATGAGGATATGGACTTTGAGGGGTTTGACAAGGAGGCCCTGCTAGCCTCTGTGGTGGATAGTGATACAGGTGATACAAGTGATACAGGTGAGGACCAATAATCTGCCCTCTGCCTCGGAACCAACCCCCCATCCCCGTGTGCCCAGCCATATAACGTAAGTGTTAAAAGACCTAATATTATTGATATTTCTCCTAAATATTATTTGTGTGTGCCTACCATCATAAAATTAAGATGTTATTTTTACTACAACGTACGTATTGTGTCGGAAAAAGGGTAGTCTGGGGGGTCGGCCCAGTCTCTATTTCAATTAATCCCATATGTTCTGTTATTTCATTTACGCGTTTCTCGTTTTATGCGAACCTTCACGGGTTTAATTGACCGCGTAAACCGAGACTATACTGTATACCTAAAAACTAGTGATAATAATGAAGATATTTTTGTTAATATTGTATAGAATTAAAAACTGTTAATATGAATTATATGAAACATATTATTCAAAGGAAAGTTCCACAATAACAAGCAGAAAATAAAACTTAGATAAAAAACATGTCTTACAATTTATTTTATCACTACTTTTCAGATGGATTGGGGAACTTTTATTAATAGCGCATTTAATAAAATAAATAAAAAATTTGGTAATTCAAGAAAGGTAGTCGTATATGCACCAGAATTTCTTCAGAGTCTTGCAGATATTCTTCATAATACAACAGACACCAGGGAAGGAATTATGTGAGTTTAGTTCAGTGTTCTCCCATTACCAATGAGGATTTGCCTTTTTCATTTTCATTTGAGATTACACTGACATCATCATCCTTTGGGGAGCAAAACTTAACCCCTCACTGGATGAAGAGTTGGGGCTGCCTTGTCTCCAGGTGGTGAAATTATTTGTACCAATTTTTTCTATTTTATATCTGATCCAGAAATTCATTTTATAACCAGCATGGATTGGACCTAGTCATGTACTGTACTACAATGGCAAGCTTGTGTGTGTGATTCTTAGGTTCACAGGAACTCTCCACTTGTACAGTCGGGGTCAAAAGTCTTGAACACTTAGCATATCTGACATCTACTTCTGAGTTATACATATATGATTGGGATATACTAATAACACTACTTGTTATATTCAGGGGGAGGGTAGTGGAAGCGGCCAGGGGGCAGCAGCGCACCCTCCACCCGCTCTACTCCCCACCCGGGAGGTGGCACCAGCTCCGCCTACCAGACAGGAGGAGGCGAGTGCCGTGTAAACAATGACATTTCTAACCACACCCTGCAAAATGCAGTGTACTTAGCAACTGCTGCAGCTTCTCAGAATGGGGGGAGGGGGGGGCAGGGTTACTAATAAGAGCAGAGACGTTACCGAGAACAAATTCTGGCTTGAATGTCATGTACACTAATACTGACACGTTTCTTGATAAAAGAGAGGAGTTTGAAACATTACTGAAGGTACACCAACCAGATATTGTGGGAATTGTAGAACTGTTGTACAAGAACAGAAGAATCGACCCAGAGGAATGTGAGTTCAGTATTGCTGGATATGACTCCTTTACGAACCTTTCTCAAGAAACTTGCAAGGGGGGTGTGGTTATCTATGCTAGGCAAGACCGTAGAGCCAGCCAGGTGAGGGTACAGGGAGAGGATGTTTTTGAAGAGCCCAAGTGGTGTAAAATTAAATTAAAGGGAGGGGACTTCCTTATCGTCGGGTGTATCTACAGATCCCCAAACTGTGGCCCACGAAATCAAAGGAACTTAAGAGCCTTAATAGACAACGCGGCGATGCTAGCCACCTCCTTATCATGGGGGACTTTAACTATGGCGACATCGACTGGAGAAACGAGTTCACCCCCAAATGACTTGAATAACCCTGCTACTCTTTTTGTAGAAATTCTGAGAGATAATTTTCTGTTCCAACATGTTACAGACCCAACCCATTACAGAAGGGAGCAAACACCCAAGCCACTAGACCTCATCATAACAAACAAGGAGGGTATGGTGGCCAAACTGGAACACCTTGCCGCAGTTGGCACCAGTCACCATATAGTGTTGTCATTCAGATTTAACTGTTACCTAGTTCAGGATAAGGCCAGGCCAGGGTGGAAAGATTACAAGGGAAATTACAACGGGATGAGGGAAGAGATGAGGGGTATCAACTGGCCTGACTCATTAAGGCACAAGAAAGCAGACACTGCACTGAATATCATAACTAGTAAAGTGACCCAATTGATCGATAAATATATACCCCAGACCAAACCCAGTGCCTCTAGGAATACGAGGGGATCCCTACACATGAACCATGTGGCGGTCGACAAAGTTAAGAAAACCTAAAAATTCGAGACGTGGGTTGGGCCAAACGATGAGCAGGACAGGAGGATCTATGCACGAGCCAGAAACCAAGCAAAGATAGAGTTCCAGAGGCTGGTTGCAAGCGAGGTCAACTCAAACCCAAAGGCATTTTACTGCTATGCAAAGTGGAAATTAAAAACGCGAGTAGGAGTATCAGACCTGAGGCTTGAAGATGGTAGTTACGCAGATTCTGACCACGATAAAGCTGAGGCATTGAAAAGCTTCTTTTCCTCGGTGCTCACAAGAGAGGATGCGATTAACCTTCCTGCGTTTGAGGACAGACGGTTCGACACAGCACTGACCCACATTGTGTTCACAGAAGATGGTATTAGAAATAAACTGTCAAAGCTAAAGGTCCATAAGAGTCCCGCCCCTGACATGGTGCGTCCTAGAAGGCTAAGAGAGTTGTGCAACAAGCCCCTGAAGATCCTGTTCTATAAATGCCTGGATGAATAAAAGGTCCCCAGTGAATGGAAAGTGGCTTATGTGAGTCCTATTTTCAAGAAGGGCGATCGTCACTCCATGAACAACTGTAGACCGGTGAGCCTGACCAGCATAATATGTAAAGTACTTCAGAGTGTTATCAGAGATGCCGCAATGGAACATCTACTACGAAACAACCTTGTAAAGGATTGCCAACACGGTTTTATGCCGGGGCGCTCCTGCTTAACACAATTGCTCAAGGTATTGGATATTTGGACCCATATTCTGGAACGGGGTGGTAATATCAACAATATTTACATAGATTTTGCCAAGGCTTTCAACAGTGTACCCCATAAAATGCTGAAAATCAAACTGGAAGGGTGCAGAATTTGGGGAAATGTCCTAGCGTGGATAGAAGACTTTCTACATGACCGCAAACAGCAAGCAGTGTGTGGTGATTAATGGCACGAAATCATCATCCGTACCTGCTACAAGCGGGGTACCACAGGGTAGTGTATTGGGCCCGCTGTTGTTTGTTTGTTTCATAAATGACATGCCTGACGTTGTACACTCCTCCATACAAATGTTTGCCGATGATGCCAAGTTATTTCGGGAAATCAAGAACCAAGCGAACTGTGAAGAGCTGCACAAGGACCTCTGTGGGCTCCAAGAATGGTCGAAGAAATGGCTGCTGAGATTCAATGTCACGGTAAGGATGCGTATCATATGTCCCAACGGGATGAAGAGACTGCACTATTTGAGACTGAATGTGAGAAGGACCTAGGTGTGTATGTTGACAATGAGCTGAAGCTTTCAGGCCATTGAGAGAAGAAGGTAAATCAGGCAAATAAATTATTGGGTCTTATTGGAAGGTCGTTCAGATATCTAGACGGTCCGTCCCCTTAACGATCTTCAAGAATGAAGTGCTTCCCCCATCTGGAGTACTGTCACCCTGTCTGGTCTCCGAGATTTGCTAGGGACTATCAGTTTGTTGAAAATGTTCAAAGGAGGGCCACCAGACTGGTGCCTGCACTTTGGCACCTCAGCTACCCTGAGAGATTGGAGTGCCTGAACTTGCCTAGCTTATACTACAGACAGGCAAGGGGAGACTTAATTGAGGTGTATAAGCATCCCAAGGGGCACTACTCAGTCGAGTGTCCTTGCTTGGAGCTGGCGGACGCTCACCCCACAAGGGGTCACAGCTCAAGATTGAAGAAGCTGCAAGTCCAAAAAACTGTGAGGTCAAACTTTTTCGGAGTGAGAGTTGTGAACTCTTGGAACAATCAACCAAAAAGTGTTGTGACGGCACCGAGTGTGAGCTCTTTCAAGACAAGACTTGACCAACACTGGAGCAGGTTCAGGTACATTCAGGAGCTGGTGCATGCCCAGTGCTTGCCAACAGTGCGTAACAGAGACGTGACCGATCGCCCAAGTGGCTAACGAGTCGATCATTTGGTGAAGAGGATAAAAGAAAAGGAAAAGTAACAGAGACGTGACCGATCGCCCAAGCGGCTAACGAGGCGATCAGTGGTGAAGAGGATAAAAGTAAAGTTGTCATCACATATTATGCCTGAACCACAAAATGTGATACAACTCTCCTTAATACCTAAGATTTTCGGGTACTTACGTGCCAAATACTGTCAAGTGTTCAAGACTTTTGACCCCGACTGTACATGTGAGCAATAATTCAGAAATCCACTAAAATCAGAACACAGAACACTTGAGACAACATCTCTTCTGATGACCCAGTTGTCAAAGGTAAAGAGATGTAAATCTTCACTGCCACAGCTGTGTGTGTGTACTCTTCAACCCATGCAGGGTATAAAACAAGCCCCAGGTGCCAATCACTAATCAACTTCCAGCTCACCTCAACATCCCTGGAGGGATCTGTTACTCAATCCATGCTGATAATAAAATGTGATTTCAGGATGAATACCACATTTATAACTGATGCAGTGGACTAGACAACACAGAATACTGAAGTTGGAGGCATGGAGGCATGACAATGATGTGGAAATGAAAGAAGTGTAGGGCAGAAAGTGCCAGGGTTTTGCAAGATATTATGGATATGTTGAGTGTATGGAAAGTTTGGTAAAAGAGTGCACAGTATACTTCAGAGGCAAATGGTCAGGGAGAGAGAAGACCAAGAAAATAATGAAAGGGTGGGATGAAGGAAGCATTAGAAGTAAAGGAGGTGGATATCTGGGAAACAATAAACCATGTGAATGATGAAAAAATGACACTGAGAGATTTATGGAGATGTCACAAGTTAGAGTGATTGTTAGGAGGTGGGTGAAAGGAGAATATGTATTCTTTTATTATGGATTCTGGCTACCCTGCAGCAATATGGGAAAAGGGTTGCCAGAGTTAAAAAAAAATCTATGATGGACATTATATTAAAACTTTAAAATATTACTTGATTTGAAAAAGCCTAATTTTCAGATATCTTATATCTGACTGCATGTACAGTATAGTTAGTAGAAGATTAACAGAGTTCATCAATCACAAAATTTAATCACTGAGCACAGATTGCATCAATGCAATACCTAAATAATTTTATTACAGGTGAAATACCATGTTACAACTAAAGCAATAACTCTTTTTAACATTACTTTACATCATCTCTTTACATCAGAAATCTCCACAATTACCTGGTGTGGCAGGTTGTCCGCGACTATGTTGGCTTCCTATCGCAAGACTTTCGAGAGGCTGCTAAAGTCCTAGAAAAGGCACAGATGGGGGTGGTTGGGACAGAGGAGACTTGGAGAGAATGTGTCGTGGCTACAGATGCCGCTCTGGGACCTGCTGTTGGAGCAATGTATGTTCGTGAAGCTTTCCATGGAGACTCAAAGGTTATGGTATGTATATAAGGTGGAATAGGTTCAGTAATATACTGTAGTGTATTTAGATTTATTCTTTAAGTAATTATGTTTTGTGTTTGGTCTTATCAATGCAGAATTTTTTTTTAAATTTATATCCTTTGCAATATTTTAGAGAAATCAGACCACTGCCATTTTGAATATTATACATGAATTATCTTTTAGCTATGAGGAATTGATACTGAAATCCTATTACTGTATACTGTATATATAATCCTATAACAAGGAAACTCTTGTAGTGCATCTTTTAAGCCCAGGACATTAGTGGCTGGAATAATGTATGTGAGTTAGTTTGCCTCTCCACTACAACTACTGCCCTTAAAAATGGAAATTTGGAAGCAAAGGTATATGAATTGGGAGGCTATTCGACAGGCAAAAAACTTAGCAAAGAGCAAGACATTTCAGAATGTACTCATTCACCCAGATCGCACGGTAATGCAAAGGGAACAGCACAAGAAGCTCCTGCAAGTCTTGCAGCAGAAGATGGAGGAGTAAAGGAGGAACAGGGACGGGTGTACATGGGTTATATCGAGGGGGAGGGTAGTGGGAGCAAGTGTGCTGACGCAGAGCCAGGGGGCAGCGGCGCACCCTCCACCTGGTCTACCCCTCACCCGGGAGGAGGCACCAGCTCCGCCTACTAGACAGGAGGAGGCGAACGCCGTGTGAACAATGACATTTCTAACCACACCCTGCAAAATACAGTGTACTTAGCAAATGCTGCGGCTTTTGAGAATGGAGGGTGGGTCGGAGTTACTACTAAGAGCAGACATTATTGAGAACAAATTCTGGCTTGAATGTCATGTACACTAATACTGACACGCTCCTTGATAAGAGAGAGGAGTTTGAAACACTACTGAAGGTACACCAACCCGATATTGTAGGAGTTGTAGAGCTATTGTACAAGAACAGGAGAATCGACCCAGAGGAATGTGAGTTTAGTATTGCTGGATATGACTCATTTAAGAACCTTTCTCAAGAAACATGCAAGAGGAGTGTGGTTATCCATACTAGGCAAGACCTTAGAGCCAGCCAGGAGAGGGTACAGGGGGAGCATGTTTTTGAAGAGTTCAAGTGGTGTAAAATTAAATTAAAGGGAGGGGACTTACTTATTGTCAGGTGTATTTACAGATCCACAAACATTAGCCCACTAAATCAAAGGAACTTAAGAGCCTTAATAGACAATGCAGCGATGCTCATCCCTAGCCACCTCCTTTTCAGGGGGGACTTTAATTATGGCGACATCGACTGGAAAAACGAGCTCACGCCAATTGACTTGAATACCCGATAACCCTGCTACTCTTTTTGTAGAAACTCTGAGATATAATTTTCTGTTCCAACATGTTAAAGACCCAAGACCAGAGGGAAGCAAACACCCAAGCCACTAGACCTCATCATAACAAACAAGGAGGGTATGGTGGCCAAACTGGAACATCTAGCCCCAGTTAGCACCAGTCACCATGTAGTGTTGTCATTCAGATTGAACTGTTACCTAGTTCATCATAAAGCCAGGCCAAGGTGCAAAGATTACAAGGGAAATTACAACGGGATGAGGGAGGAGATGAGGGGTATCCACTGGCCTGACTCACTAAGGCACAAGAATGCAGACACTATGCTGAATATCATAACTAGTAAAGTGACCCACTTGACTGATAAATGTATACCCAAGATCAAACCCAGTCCCTCTAGGAATACGAGGGGACCCCTACACATGAACCATGCGGCGGTCGACAAAGTTAAGAAGAAAACTCAGACATTCAAGGTGTGGGTTAGGTCAAACAATGACCAGCACAGGAGGAAGTATGCAAGAGCCAGGAACCAAGCAAAGTCAGAGTGTAGAAGGGCTGAAAAAGAATTCTAGAGGCTGGTGCAAGCGAGGTCAGGACAAACCCAAAGGTGTTTTACCGCTATGCAAAGTCGAAATTAAAAATGCGAGTAGTAGTATCAGACCTGAAGCTTGAAGATGGTAGTTATGCAGATTCTGACCAGGACTAAGCTGAGGCATTGTACAGCTTCTTTTCCTCGGTGTTCACAAGAGAGGATGCGATTAACCTTCCTGCGTTTGAGGACAGATGGTTCGACACAGCACTGACCCACATTGTGTTCACAGAAGATGGTATTAGAAATAAACTGTCAAAGCTAAAGGTCCATAAGAGTCCCGGCCCTGACATGGTGCATCCCAGAGTGCTAAGAGAGTTGTGCAACGAGCTTGCCGAGTCCCTGAAGATCGTGTTCTGTAAATGCCTGGATGAACAAAAGGTTCCCAGTAATTGGAAAATGGCTTAGGTGAGTCCTATCTAAAAGAAGGGCGATCGTCACTCCACGAACAACTATAGACCAGTGAGCCTGACCAGCATAGTAGGTAAAGTACACCCTGTACTTGAGAGCATTATCAGAGATGCCGCGATGGAACATCTACAACGAAACAACCTTGTAAAGCAGTGGTTCCCAACCTTTTTTGGCTGCGACCCTAAATTTCCCAACAATATGGTGTTGTGACCCTCAGGCATATAATATATTATATAGCTTGAATGTTAAGCAAAAATTTCTTTATGACTTTATGATAAGTACTGTACTATATTTTTAAAATTGTCTGAGGGCCCTTCTCGACCTTACTGAGGACACCCCATGACCCTGACTTGGGTCACGACCTGAGGTTGGGAACCGCTGTTGTAAAGGATTGCAACACGGTTTTATGCCGAGGCGCTCCTGCTTAAGACAATTGCTCAAGGTATTAGATATTTGGACCCATATTCTGGAACAGGGTGGTAATATCGACAATATATACCTCGATTTTGCCAAGGCTTTCGACAGTGTACCCCATGAAATGGTGAAAATCAAACTGGAAGGGTACGGAATTCAGGGAAATGTCCTTGTGTGGAAAGAAGACTTTCTACATGACCGCAAGCAGTGTGTGGTGATTAATGGCACGAAATCATCATCCGTACCTGTCACAATTGGGGTACCACAGGGCAGTGTATTGGGCCCGCTGTTGTTTGTTTGTTACATAAATGACATGCCTGACGCTGTACACTCCCCATACAAATGTTTGCGGATGACGCTAAGCTATTTCGGGAAATCAAGAACCAAGCGGACTGTGAGGAGCTGCAGAAGGCTCTCTGTGATCTCCAAGAATGGTCGAAGAAATGGCTGCTGAGATTCAATGTCACGAAGTGTAAGAGGGTGCACCTGGGGCGTACCAACGGTAAGGAGACGTATCATATGTCCCAACGGAATGAAGAAACTGCACTATTTGAGACTGAATGTGAGAAGGACCTGGATGTGTATGATGGCATTGAGCTGAAGTTTTCGGGCCATTGCGAGAAGAAAGTTAATCAGGCAAATAAATTGTTAGGTCTTATAAGAAGGTCGTTCAGATATCTACTGTAGATGGTCCGTCCTTCTTAACGATCTTCAAGAGGGAAGTGCTTCCCCATCTGGAGTACTGTCACCTGTCTGGTCCCCGAGATATGTTAGGGACTGTCAGTTGATTTAAGATGTTCAAAGGAGAGCCACCAGACTGGTGCCTGGACTTCGACATCTTAACTACCCTGAGAGATTGGAGTGCCTGAACTTGCCTAGCTTATACTACAGATGGGCAAGGGGAGACCTAATTGAGGTATATAAGCATCTCAAGCAGTGCCGGATTTAGACCTGTGGAGGCCCATGGGCAGCCTCTTTGTGGAGGCCCCCCTCATTATAAGTACCCAAGAGGGTGGGGTGGCGAGTGAAGCGAGCTTAAACATCTGGGAGTTCTGGGGGGCTTACAGCACCCCCTGGGAAAATTTTGAAATTTGAACACTTCTTTGGAGAATTTTGAAGCCATATGCAGTTATATTGAGGAAATTAGAACATTGAGAAATGTTTAATTAACTGTATATTTATTGATAGTGTACAAATTCCCAACACACACACACACACAAAAGTGAGACATGACTGGAGTCATTCATGTGGTTTCAAGTCGACCAGCCCTGATATGTGGAGGCCCCCAGATTGTGGAGGCCCCTGGGCAGCTGCCCACTTTGCCGACTCCTGAATCCGGCCCTGATCTCAAAGGGCACTACTCAGTCGAGTGTCCTTACTTGGAGCTGGCGGACGCTCGCCCCACAAAGGGGTCACAGCTCAAGATTGAAGCAGCCGCAGGTCCTGAAAACTGTGAGGGGTAACTTTTTCTGAGTGAGAGTTGTGAACTCTTGGAACAATCTGCCAGAGAGTGTTGTGACAGCACCGAGTGTGAGCTCTTTCAAGACCAGACTTGACCAACACTGGAGCAGGTTCAGTTACATTCAGGAGCCAGTGCATGCCCAGTAAATTGCCAACAGTGCGTAACAAAGACGTGACCGATCGCCCAAGCAACTAACGAGCCGATCAGTGGTGAAGAGGATAAAAGTAAAGTAAAGTGAGGGCTGCAGTAGGGATGTAAACTAATTACATGTATTAGATAAGTTCCAAACTACTAATGTTGTGGTTTTCCAACCTATAGGATTAGTGAGCACATTACACAAGTTAAAACTAAGTTACAATACCCACATCAACTAGTTCTTACTCAATACGTATTAAATAATTTTCCAAAATTAAGCCAAGAAAGGTTTAATGTACTGGTATATTGAGTTTTTTTTATATTCTTATTATTTGGACATAAAGCAATGAATATACTGTATACAGCTACTCCTCGACTTACCATTAGTGATTGCGCTGTGTACTGACAAAATTTTCGTTTGTAATTCCCTCTAAAATGACTGGCAAGCTTAAAAGTTAGAGTTTTGTGGTGCTGAGATGAAAAAGAGACACCCATTTTAGATTTTCTATGTAGTATTATTTTCGCATTTTCGACTTATGACCAATTCGACCTACGACCTGGAATTGGATCCCTAACCCCGTCGTAAGTCTGGGAGGAGCTGTACAGATATTTACTATAATGTAATAAAAAATAAATATTAAGAAATTTAGTAATATAATTTTAATATTATTTCAGGCTGAAGAGATGATCAAAGGAATCCGTAAAACATTTAAAGAAAATTTGGAGTCTGTGCACTGGATGGATAAAGCAACTCTTAAAGCTGCCATACAGAAAGCTTCTGCTATATCAGAGATGATTGGTACAGTATTTTATGACTTAACGTTTTATCAGTGAGTCAGGTCCAGCATCCATACTACTAAACCTCTGCCCAGAAGAGATTTATCTTTGCCAGAGCTTTGACATGTAACTCCAGGCGGACAGTGAGTTTGATGCAAGCAACTCCTCTCCCAGTTGCATCAGGGTCAAGTTAGTACTGTGATTCAAACCTCCAATCTGGCTGTGATCTTGGGGACTCATGTGGCTTAAATAGGTTCAGACATTCCAAACCAGGGTTGTTGATTTTTTATTAATATTTTTTTTTTTACCAAATAAAAAAAATATCTGAGTTACCAGTACAGTACAGTGGTCCCTCGGTTAACGAGCACAATCCGTTCCAGCAGGTTGCACGTTAACCGAAACCATTGTTTCAATGGGTTTTTGGGTAATTGGTTCCAGCTCACCGAAAATTGCCTAAATTCAACAAAAATTTTGGAAATTGATACTTACCTTGAGGTGTGTATGTAGAAGGCTCCTGGATGATGATGCTGATGTGAATTTGAAGTGGGAGGAGGAGGAGGAGAAGGGAGAAGAGAAGGAAGTGGAGGTGGAGGAGAAGCATTTTACTGCTTCTTGGAAGGTGAGTCACCTTCCAAGAAAATGTCAGGAACCTCTGGATTGACATTTTCTCCACCATGAACATCCTCTCTCCTTCTTGAAGTGGAAGGCTGAGGGATAGCATCTTGTTCCCTCTGCCTTTTACTGAAGAAAGTGTTAATTGTGGTCTGTGGGGCATCTCTCCTCCTCACCATTAACTTATGTTTAAAGAAGGAGACCATTGAGTCCTCAACATGACACAAAGTTAGTTTAGTTTTTCCACATCTGGGTGCTTTGAAGCCAGTTCCCTGAACTTCTCCCAGTGGTAAATCACATCTTTCAACGCTTTAGTTGACATATGGTCATCACTTTCAATTTCCTCCTCACCACTGTCAGCCTCTAACATCTCATCCAGTTGCTTCAAGTCATCAGGAGTAAGTTCCTCCTCATGAGACATCACAAGCTCTTCGACATCATCCTCTTCAAGGCCCAATGACTGACCAATGGACACAATATCCTGGTCCAACTCTGTTTCTTCCTCAAATCCCTCAAAATCATGGACTACTGATGGCCACAGTGCTTTCCATGAAGAATTGAGGGATATAGTTTTGACTTCTTGCCATGATGACACAATCAATTTTACAGCCTCCAGGATGTTGAATTGTGTCTTCCAGAACTGTTTCAGTGTTAGTTCAGGATCATTGGAAGTTGCCTGATGACACTTCCTAAACATTTTCTTCATGTACAACTTCTTGAAGTTGCTGATCACATTTTGGTCCATTGGCTGTGATTGATGTTGTGTTGGGAGGCAAAAACAACACTTTCACAAAGTCAAATTGATACTCCAAAGTTCTGGCAAGTTCAGGGTCATGACCAGGAGCATTATCCATGAGGAGAAGAGCCTTTAAAGGGAGTTTATTGGTGGTTAGGTATCTCTTGACAGAAGGGCAAAACACATCAACAGCCCATTCATTAAAGAGCTGTCTTGTCACCCATGCCTTACGGTTGGACTTCCAATAAACTCCAAGCTTTGTTCTTACCACTTTCTGTTGCTTGAACACCCTGGGGTTTTCAGAGTGGTAGACAAGCATAGGCTTCAGTCGGAAATCCCCTGAAGCATTGGCACCAAGCAATAGAGTGAGACGGTCTTTCATGGGTTTATGCCCAGGTAAAGAGGCTTCATCTCTGGTGATGAATGTTCTTTTGGGCATCTTTTTCCAGAACAGCCCAGTTTCGTCCACATTGAACACATGCTGTGGAAGATAATTTTCTTCTTCCATCAGTTCTTTAAATTCCACTAAAAACTTTGCTGCCCCTTCCTTATCAGCACTAGCAGCTTCACCATGCCTAACAACACTGAGAATGTCACTTCTTTTTTTTTATTTTTCGAACCAGCCTTTGCTGGCCCGAAAATCTTCAAATTCTGTACCTGAAAAACCAGGTTGATCTGTCTTTAAATGTTCATAAATCTCCCTGGCTCTTTCACAAATGAATTCAGTAGAAACTGAATCACCTTTCATCTGTTTTTCCCTAATCCAGATGAGAAGTAACCTCTCAGTTTCTGCAATTAGGGATCTACTTTTAAGCACTCTGGTAGATTTGTCTCTCACTTTCACTTCTTTAAATTTGTCTTTTTGTGCAAGAATTGTCGACACAGTTGATGTCGACATGCCGTATTCTTTGCATAGCGCATTTGTTCTAATGCCTTGTTCATGTTTTTTTACAATTTCCTGCTTGGTTTGGATTGAAATCGCTTTTCTTGATCTCTTAGGCCCCATGCTGGATTCAAACAATGTCAACACGTGATCATTTAAGTTTAAACTACTGTAGCTGTAAATAAAGAATATTTTCTTTAAAATAACACTGCACTATATATTGTCAATATGTAAAATATATTTCAAAATGACCAATAAAATGCTTGTAAACACAGAAAAAGCATTTAGTTGAAGAGAGTCTCAAGCAAGATGTTACCCTCACTGAAAACAGAGAGAGACTAACGCTTGTTTGGTGTGTTAAAAGGCTGGATGGCACGCATAAAGCTAGTGACTTTACCTTCAATTATGTTCAATAATTGTTAAAATGACTAAAAAATTTAATATTTAACTCTTAAACTTATTGAATGGTATAAACTTGATATTTACTAAAATAGTAAGGAATTTAAGCCCTAGAACCGATTACTGTATTGGCGGACTAATACTACAGCTGGTTGACCGCCAAGTGCAAGCGAAAACATGTTGAGGTCGGCTCGTAAGAAACTCGTTAACCGAGGGATTGCTCGTTAACCGAAGTTAAGAAACTTATGGGAGGTAACTCGTTAACCGAAATCTCGTTAACCGAGGGATCACTGTATTTGATTTAAATCAGATTTTTTTTTTATTTCAATCAATTTTTTTAGCAGTACAACAAATCCTGTTAGCAGTAGCCTCATCTTCAGGTGTTGACTCTCCTCCTATGGACTTGTTCATTCGAAAATGAGGAACTACTTTGGTACAGTAAAAGAAGCAAAACTTATCTTTCTCTTTAAATAATTGAATGCAGACACTGGTCATGGTTATGAAGATGCTTAACTAAATCAGAACGTGTTGTTTGCAATGTGTGATGTAGTAAAGACTCAGCAACTTTAGAATTTGATTTGTATAAATATTAAATGTCATGTATCATAATTTTTTTTTAGTTGCTTTTGCTTTGTTTTTCTATTTGCAACTCTGAAATAAGCCTAAAACAATTTATCTGTGCCTTTAATACTTAACTACAGTTGTACCCCACTTAACGCGGTCAATTGAACCCAGAGGGTCCCGCGTTAAGTGAAATCCGCGTTAAGTGAACAACAGAACATATGGGATTAATTCCAATAGAAACCGGCCCGACCCCCAAACTCCACTTTTTGAAGGCACATACCTATGTTGTAGTAAAAATAACATCTTAATTTTATGATGGTACATGCACACAATTAATACTTAAGAGAAATAGAGAAATACAGTCGCCAAGTTAATGTCCATTCAAATAATGGACTCAACTCCCTCCCCCTCTCACACTACACTGCCGGCTCTTCCCTCTCTGAGAAATTTTTGGGGGAAAACCACTAAATTTTAATAAATAATACCTCAAACTAAAGTTAGGATAATACAATTGACATTGCTGGATTCCTTGTAAGACCAGGAATATTTTGAATATAAATGTCATATATTTTGCACAAAAGATAACATAGTTACCTAGAGAAAAATTTTTATCTAAAATTTGTATGTTTAATGCAAAATATATGATGTTTATATTCAAAATGATCACCAAATTATAAGAATTCCAGCAATGTAAATTATATTCTGACCGGTAATTTGTATGAATTTTATGAGCTAAAACAAATATCTTCAGTTAATAAAAAAAAAAATAATTCTTCACGGGTAACAGATGGTCGGTCGGTCCCTCCCTCCCCCCCACCCCCCACCAACCGTCCCAAGGAGATGTGTGGGATAACCACTAAATTTTAATAAATAATACCTCAAACTAAAGTTAGGATAATATAATTGACATTGCTGGATTCCTTGTAAGACCAGGAATATTTTGAATATAAATGTCATATATTTTGCACAAAAGATAACATAGTTACTCTGAGAAAAATTTTTATCTAAAATTTGTATGTCTAATGCAAAATATATGATGTTTATATTCAAAATGATCACCAAATTATAAGAATTCCAGCAATGTAAATTATATTCTGGCCGGGTAATTTGTATGAATTTTATGAGCTAAAACAGGCAGTCAGGCAGGGTGGCGGGTGGGGCAAATCTAAAAATAGCGTCTCGTCTCGAGCCGGACACTCACCGCGTATATGTGGAAAAAATCTGTGTTAAGTGAAAGTTCAGCTCTGGCGAGGCACCGCGTATATGATAAAACGCGTTAAGTGAAACCGCGTTAGGCGGGGTAATACTGTACATCCCTTCTTGTTTGAAGCAGAAGTACAGTATAATGATACCCTGTACATGTAAGGTAAGCAAAGTGATGGGTTAATATATAAGACTAACCCACCAGGGCTGCATAGAGCCTATGCGGCCGCATCATCTCACATCCAGAAAATGCCTCAAATTTCACCATATCATAGTAAGTTCTTTCTGTTTAATATACTGTGGAAGTTAGGTAAGGTTAGGTGGGTTTGTTTGGTTTGATTGGTTAGGTTCTGTTCTTCATATCCACAAATGTTAAGTCGCAAAAATTTTAAAAATATAAATTTTTTAACATACTGTATTTCCACAAACTACAACAATATCCACTATACAGTAGAAGTCCAAAAATCCGGATTGCTTGGGGATTGGGTCGGTCCGGATTTTTGGCTCAGGCAGTACTTTTAAAATTCAAATTTAAGGCGGAATAAAGAAGAGATGAACAAGTACATTTTGATAGTTTATTCATTAGCAAATATAGCATGCTTCATTTATCAAAACAAGCAGTTTTAAAGAAAAAGCTGTGAATTCTAGAATTTTATTCTTTGCCTTTTTTATATCATAAATTGTAGACTTTCCAATGTCGTGTTTCCATTAGAACAGTATTGCTCACACCACGTTCTAGTTTCTTAATTATTTCAGGTTTGTCACTCAATTTCAACGTGTTCTTCTTTCTCTTCACACAACGAAGTTTATCTACTTTAGGAGCCATTATTATGGGCTTGTACAATACTCTGTAAATGGAAAGAGTAGGACTCGTTGTCACAGTTTGATTGCTCGTTTTAAAGTGGCGACCTCGTGGTCTCTTGTTGTTGTTGTTGTGCAGCTGTGGCACTCACGCATGCGCACATACACACAAAAGCCAGCTAAATTTATAAAAAAAATAAATAAATAAACAAAAATTTATTTTTCGATAAGTCCGGATTCTCGGGTGGTCCGGATTTCTGGCATCCGGATTTTTGGACTTTTACTGTAATATAACAATGAAAATCCGGCGTTTTATAATTGTTTTCAATCAATTTCACTCGTGGGTTAGTCTTATATAATTACCAAGTGATGTTACTTATCTCAAACTTGTGTTTGTTGTTTCAGTTACAAAACAAATATTGTAATTTATGTCCTTCAGGATAATCTGTCCTGATGTTTAACACGTCAAAGCTCTCTGGCAAGGGTAGGCAGTATCAGACAGTGTTGTTAACGGTATGGACTCTGTAGGTCACTTGTTTCTCTCCTTCAGCTACAAAGTGGAATTTTTTATTTCAGTCTACTATCCTCTTTTTTTCTTTTTCTTTTTAAGTTTCCACCATTGCTCTTGTATATCAGTCAAATTTTAATATTCTACACAATTTTTTCAATATTTTATTTCCTACTTCAGGTTTTGCAGACTATATCCTTGACCAAGGGGAGCTGGATGCAAAATATGCTGACCTAAAAATAAAAGAAAATGAGTTCTTTAAGAATAATATTCGTGTGAGCATCTTCAACTTCAAAGAGAACCTCGGTCGCTTGTATAAGCCGGTGAATAAGACACGTTGGGACATGTCTCCACCCACAGTAAATGCTTATTATTCTCCAACAAGGTAAGCCAAAATATTTTTTTTTAATTGTAATTTATTTTTTTGAATGACCCATAATGTATGTCAATCTTAGGTTTCATGCTGCTCAGAGATATTCAAAATTTCTCTGCTCAACAAAAGAGATCAGATGACTGGTGGTAACTGTAAGAGTCTCAGCTGTGGATGACAACAAGCTTTCAGACATTAGATCACTGAGTAGATCGAGTAGTTCACAGTAACTGAAGGCAAGTCAGAAGATCTACTACTTATTATTTATTTTTTATTTTTTTATAAAAATTGGCCTCCCATCTAATCTTCCGGGCATTTCAGTTAAACAAACTAGATGTTGTAATGCTTGCTAACAGTCTGAATCTCATCATTAACTCTTAATCTGTTGGACATCAGTCACGGATATATCCGTGATGAACAATTGGTGTCAGCTGGAGCAAATCACGGATATATCTGTGATGAAATGTTACCAGTACAGGCACCTCATGGCATTACATGCAGTGCAAGTTGCTTGTTTTTGGGGGAAGTGTTTCAAACACCTCTAGGCTTATATTTTGACAACACTGCCAGCTCTGCAGCACTGTCACACCTCACAGGACCAGGCGTCAATTACTGCCTCACTCGCAAACATGCATCATGTCACACAAGCAACATTTTCCTTCCCCTGAAGAGGCTGCTGAACTCACTCTTTTGTGTGAGTCTGACTCAGAGTCTGTGTATGTATGTATGTATGTATGTATGTATGTATGTTTGTATGTATGTATGAATACTTGTGTGTGTGTGTGTGTGTGTGTGTCTGTGTGTGTGTGCCAAATATTATGAAAATTTTAATATACGGGTATATTGTACTGTATATCATAATTTTTTTAAATGTCTCCTACAGGATTTCGAAATTTTACCAAATACTGTACAGTTTTAAATTTTTTTTTAATATACTTGTATATATTTTGTAACAGCAAAACATTATGAATTATGAGTGATTTTGCATTTGAGGGGTACAGATTATGGGGTTTTTATTGTACTGTACAGTACTTGGTTTCTTACTCTATCTCAACTTTTCCTAAACAGGAATGACATTGTCTTCCCAGCGGGTATACTCCAGGCACCATTCTTCTACAATGACAATCCTAAGTCACTCAACTATGGTGCAGTGGGTGTAGTCATGGGACATGAGCTGGCACATGCCTTTGATGATCAAGGTTTGTATGAAGATGTGATTTGGTGTTTGAAAATATGTTATAGAAATTTACAGATAAGTTTTTTATGTACTGTACATATTTATACAGTACTGAATAGCTCATATTAGTTATGACTAACTGGTTTTCCTAGAAGTCCAGTGAGGTACTTTACTCAGGAGGAAACCGGAGTACCCAGAGAAAACCTGCAAAGTTTGGTAGGGTCACACTGGACAACACTGTTGTCACATCCAACTCAGAATCAAACCCAGGATGCAATGGTGAGAAGCAAGTGTGATACCGCTGTACCACTGACACCCCTCATTAAAGTTTCTATTCATATGATGAGAATTTATATGCACACTCATGGGTTTCAGACAGTGATATTAATATTTCTAAGAAGTGGCCTTCTACTATACAGTATTTATAAAGGTTTGTGAAAAGAAAAAGGGCACCTATTTAAGTTGGGGAGCGCTTACACAAAGAAATTTGGAAGACATGGTAGTAAATGGGATATAACAATGTAAAACTGTTAAATTGTTTCTTGTTGTGATATTTGTAGTACAGACCTCAAAATACAACACAGTAATTTGCTTCAGTCAGTATTGTGTTACTGAGCCATTCTACCCTCCCTAACACCTTCTCTCCTCTCACACATCAAACTGTGCTAATTTGCCCCATCTTGTGATGCACCTTATCTGCTATAATATGATTAGTCATGGGAAAACTAAGATGTAATTCTGTAATATTATGTTACTGTTCTTGCCTCAAGATGGCACAGTGAAGCTACAACAGAGTCACACATGGGAGACCCTGAGGTTCTGGTGAGGTCACCACACCACCCACTACTGCATTTGTTGTTACAAGGGTAAACACATACAGTATTGTCAACTACTTTACCGAAAGGAGGAAAGGTTTTAAAAAAATCAGTACAGTATCTCATCTTATTCATCGAGAGATATTGTAATATATTGACATTAGAACTACTTAACTAACAGTTTTTGCTCCTGCGTGTTTCCGGCCCTCAGATAAGTCAGGCCTTAACTCATTAATTACTTGCATGCTTTATCACTTCAAGGAAGTTCCACAATTTGGTTCCTACATTTTGTCATAATGTGTTAAATATCTGTCTACAGTATTATATAATCCAGGGATTACTGTATGTCATTGATGTCACTCTATTGTTAGTGAGACCAAAGAAAGAGCGAAGAAAAGAGGAAGAAAGTCACAAAGAAATACAATGTGTTTGATATATCTGAACTTCAGTTGAAAGCATGCGTACTTACTGATATCAAATTTATTAAAGAATTCACCATGCTCCTATTTTTTTAGGAAGAAAGTATGACAAGGATGGCAACTTAAACCAATGGTGGCAACAGGAGACTGCAGATAAATTCAAGGACCTAACTCAGTGCATGGTAGAACAGTACTCAGGATACAGCCTACGAGGAGAGCATTTAAATGGCAAACTAACATTGGGTAGGTACTGTACTGCATGCTCTAGTCTTCATATATTTAGAACACAAGACCTTGCTCAGAAAACCACAAAATTCCTGGATCTGTCCCAACAAACAAGTGCTGGGAATATGAAGTTCTACTGTATGTCAAAGCTATTTAGAATATTCTGTCTAATTATTCACATGTCATCTCACACTTAATCTATAAAACTGTTGAGAATGCTAAAGATAAATACATAGATATTTATTCAGTAAAATTGTCATAAAACTTGAGCATGTATATATATATGATGCAGGTATACAGTATACATAGACCTTACAGGTATACAACCGATGTACCTAAGCACTGCAGTTATACAAACAATGGTAAACAGTAAGGCATAAGTAAATATGACAAGAGGTACCGGTGTAACGGGGGGGTAGGAACAACAAGCTAGCTGCCACCATTTGTATGAGCCGGGGCTGCTACTACTTATTGCTGAACCACTGAGGCCACCATTTGTAAGAGCGCGCACCACAAGCTGCCACCCTGTAAGGGCTTGGCACTCTTACAACAACTTACGTAATACTCTGACCTGGTAGCGTGATGTGAGAGGAAGGCCCCTGGGTACATGTAAATATAGTATCGAGTTTTAGGGAAAGAACAAAGGTGAATACTATAGGTGAATCATAGACCCACATACAAATACACTGTTTATTAAACACAAAATGGTTACAGAAAAGACATTGTATGCACCCAAAGTAGGAACTCCTGGTACCATTCCCTCAGGCTCAATTTACTTGCACCACTACTGGGTGTACACACACCAAAACACACATAACTCTCACAGCACCTTAGTACCAATGATACCAGTGGCACCTGCCAGTACAACACTCAATACCCCAGGGGCAATACTCCAGCGGCCGCCATGGAGTCTTATCACCAGGTGACACCTTCCAACAAACTCAGATAATTCCGGTGGACTAACACCACCACACAAAGAGCCCGACTGAGTTATGTACTGTACTCATCCACCAATGATAGGGGCTGGCAGTAGTTTGGGGCTTGACAATCCGGGTTCACCACGGGGGCATGGCGTCAGGGGAATCCACTACCCCCCATGGGGCCCATGGGTGGTAGTGGAGCTTCTGACGGTCGGAGTTCAAGAGGACACCCGACTCCACTGGACCTCAGACATCTCCCAAGACTAGTGGATGCGTCATCCATGCTACAGACACGGCCTAGGCTGCATTAGGGACCTGTGGGTGGAGGAGCGTGGCGCTTACTCACGGTTTATAACGAACTCAACGTTTCAAAGGGACATTAAGGACATAAAATACTTCACTCAAAGCACATTAACTAGGTTACTTTAACACTTGCAATCAAACTATTAATTCGGTCAAATCACTTAAAAATGGTGCATTACAACACGGAGAAGGTGGAATGACCTACCTGTAAGTGGAGGAGCGTGGCGCTTACTAGTTTAAAAACGAACCGCCGCCTTCCACTCACGCTAAAGTTACGGATTCCACCTACTCAACCATTTCACTGAATTACGTTACTGTAACACTCTGACGTTTGAAACTGAGACTACGAACTCAGTTTCATTCCCTACTATTATCTTTACAAACAATGCTCTGACTGAGCTATCAAAAGCAAGAATTAAATTGATCACAAAAGGATGGATGGCAACAGGTCCCAACACGCAGCACCTTGCTACAAACTCGAGGAGCAGATTCAAAAAGGTTCCCTTCAGAATATTTACTAATTCCTCAGTTAACCTCCCTACCACAATTTCACTATGATTATCAGAGTCTCTGATATTCATAGGTGAAAAAAAAAGGTTTACAGGGTTTCGGTAGATGCAAAAGAGTTTACAACTCGGTCAACAAACATACGACATCTCGATGACGTCATCAAAGAAACAGAGAGAACGGAGGACATTTCCACTGGGAGACTCAGAAGGTTTTGTGGACGTGCAAGCGTAATATGGATCATTAGTTTAACAGGTTAGCCGTCATTACGATCATGACACCGGTATAGCCAGCATAAGGGCAGAACTAGACAATGTGACATAGTTGTGGCCAGAATTAGGCTAGGATACAGACACAACTGGCAAGTTAGTAACGCTGTACCCATACCGGAACACTCAGCATGAAAACTTTGTGATAAACCCTTAAAGCATACACTTGAACACTAAATTATTGAATGTGACACTGTCAAAGACTTCAGGTCACCTGGCTTATTGTATCATGAGATTTGTAATTACTACATTGAATCAGGGGTGCTTGAGGACATTCTTGCTGTTTATCCAAAATTTGCTAGTCCACATTGATTAGTCTTCGATTAGAATATGATGTCCAATGTATATGAACCTCTGTCCTGCATGGCAGTGAACAGTGACATCAACCCACATGAATCTGACCTATATATACTGTTAATGAATGTGATCTATTCCTTTGTGTATGAACCACTGTCCTGCGTGGCAGTGAGAAGTGATACCACCCTCAGTGTCAAGACCTGACTGATTTACTCAGAATAGGCAAACTGTACTCCAAGCTTTATCAATAAATTTGTTAAACTAAAAAAAAACTATTCCCAGTTATATCTAGAACATAAAACTAAAGAATATTGGTGCAACTTGCAGGTGAGAATATAGCTGACAATGGAGGACTTAAAGCAAGCTTCCGGGCCTACCTGGAATGGGTGAAAGAGAATGGGGAAGAGAAAGCTCTACCAGGTATCTCCCTAAACCACCAGCAACTCTTCTTCCTTGGCTTCTCTCAGGTTAGATCATCAATCTTTTTTAATGTGTCTTAGATGAGGCCAGAGAATATTACATGTCAATATGAGAATGTCCGTATGGTTGCTACTTTATGTTGCAGTTATTTACAGAAGACATCACAGGTAACCTAATTGAATTTACGAGTATTTAATTTCATATATATATATATATATATATATATATATATATATATATATATATATATATATATATATATATATATATATATATATATATATATATATATATATATATATATATATATATATATATATATATATATATATATATATATATATATATATATATATATATATATATATATATATATATATATATATATATATATATATATATATATATATATATATATATATATATATATATATATATATATATATATATATATATATATATATATATATATATATATATATATATATATATATATATATATACTATAATTATACTATATATATATATATATATATATATATATATATATATATATATATATATATATATATATATATATATATATATATATATATATATATATATATATATATATATATATATATATATATATATAAGAGTATTCCTCGTTAATCTAACTCAACTGCTCTAGTAGCTGTCGTTCGTTAACCGAAACGTTCGTTAACCGAAACCATTGTTTCAATGGGTTTTTGGGTAATTGGTTCCAGCTCACCGAAAATTTCCTAACTTCAACAAAAATGGCGGAAAAATTTACTTACTTTGAGGTGTGTATGTAGAAGGCTCCTGGATGATGGTGATGATGTGCATTTGAAGTGGGAGGTGCAGGAGGAGAAGGGAGAAGAGAAGGAAGTGGAGGTGGAGGAGAAGCATTTTACTGCTTCTTGAAAGGTGAGTCACCTTCCATGAAAATGTCAGGAACCTCTGGACTGACAGATTCTCCACCATGAACATCCTCTCTCCTTCTTGAAGTGGAAGGCTGAGGGCTAGCATCTTGTTCCCTCTGCCTTTTACTGAAGAAAGTGTCAATTGTGGTCTGTGGGGCATCTGTCCTCCTCACCATTAACTTATGTTTAAAGAAGGAGACCACTGAGTCCTCAACATGACACAAAGTTAGTTCAGTTTTTTCCACTTCTGGGTGTTTTGAAGCCAGTTCCCTGAACTTCTCCCAGTGGTAAATCACATCTTTCAACTGTTTAGCTGACATATGGTCATCACTTTCAATTTCCTCCTCACCACTGTCAGCCTCTACCCGTAACATCTCATCCAGTTCCTTCAAGTCATTAGGAGTAAGTTCCTCCTCATGAGACATCACAAGCTCTTCCACATCCTTCTCCTCCACTTCAAGACCCAATGACTGACCAATGGACACAATCTCCTGGTCCAACTCTGTGTCATCCTCAAATCCCTCAAAATCATGGACTACTGATGGCCACAGTGCTTTCCATGAAGAATTGAGGGTTCTATTGGAGACTTCTTGCCATGATGACACAATCAATTTTACAGCCTCCAGGACGTTGAATTGTGTCTTCCAGAACTGTTTCAGTGTTAGTTCAGGATCAATGGAAGTTGCCTGATGACACCTCCTAAACATTTTCTTCATGTACAACTTCTTGAAGTTGCTGATCACATTCTGGTCCATTGGCTGTATGAGTGATGTAGTGTTTGGAGGCAAAAACAACACTTTCACAAAGTCAAATTTATACTCCAAATTTCTGGCAAGGTCAGGGTCATGACCAGGAGCATTATCCATGAGGAGAAGAGCCTTTAAAGGAAGTTTATTGGTGGTTAGGTAGCTCTTGACAGCGGGGCAAAACACATCAATAGCCCATTCATTAAAGAACTGTCTTGTCACCCATGCCTTACGGTTGGACTTCCAATAAACTCCAAGCATTGTTCTTACCACTTTCTGTTGCTTGAACACCCTGGGGTTTTCAGAGTGGTAGACAAGCATAGGCTTCAGTCGGAAATCCCCTGAAGCATTGGCACCAAGCAATAGAGTGAGACGGTCTTTCATGGGTTTATGCCCAGGTAAAGAGGCTTCATCCTTGGTGATGAATGTTCTTTTGGGCATCTTTTTCCAGAACAGCCCAGTTTCGTCAACATTGAACACTTGCTGTGGAAGATAATTTTCTTCTTCCATCAGTTTTTTAAATTCAATTAAAAACTTTGCTGCCCCTTCTTTATCAGCACTAGCAGCTTCACCATGCCTAACAACACTTAAAATGTCACTTCTTTTCTTAAATTTTTCGAACCAGCCTTTGCTAGCCCGAAAATCTTCAAATTCTGTTCCTGAAGAACCAGGTTGATCTGTCTTTAAATGTTCATAAATCTCCCTGTCTCTTTCACAAATGAAATCACCAGAAACTGAATCACCTTTCATCTGTTTTTCCCTAATCCAGATGATAAGTAACCTCTCAGTTTCTACGATTAGGGATCTACTTTTAAACACTCTTGTAGATTTGTCTCTCACGTTCACTTCCTTAAATTTGTCTTTTTGTGCAAGAATTGTCGACACAGTTGATGCCGACATGCCATATTCTTTGCATAGCGCATTTGATTTAATACCTTGTTCGTGTTTTTTTATTATTTCCTGCTTCATTTGGATTGAAATCACTTTTCTTGATCTCTTAGGCCCCATGCTGGATTCAAACAATGGCAACACGTATTTTTCAAAGTTAAACTAGCTGTAAATAAAGAATATTTTCTTTAAAGTAACACTGCACTGCACTATATATTGTCAATATGTAAAATCATTTTCAAAATGACCAATAATTTGCTTGGAAACACAGAAAAAAAGCGTTCAGTTGAAGAGAGTCTCAAGCAAGATGTTACCTCCAGTGAAAACAGAGAGACTGACGCCTGTTTGCTGTGTTAAGAGGCTGGATGCCGCGCATTAAACTAGTCACTTTACCTTCAATTATGTTCAATAATTGTTAAAATGACTAAAAAATTGAATATTAAACTTTTAAAATAATTGAATAGTATAAACTTCTTGATATTTACAAAAATAGTAAGGAATTTAAGCCCTAGAACCGATTAATGTATTGGCGGACTGATACTAAAGCTGGTTGCCCGGTCAGTGCAAGCGAAAACATGTTGAGGTCGGTTCGTAAGAAGTTCGTTAAGCGAAATTTTTTTCGTTAAACGAATTGAAGATCCTTATGGAAGGCAGTTCGTTAATCGAAATTACGTTAACCGAGGTGTTCGTTAAACGAGGGGTCACTGTATATATATATATATATATATATATATATATATACACACACAGTATTACCCCGCCTAACGCGGTTTCACTTAACGCGTTTTATCATATACGCGGTGCCTCGCCAGAGCTGAACTTTCTCTTAACACGGATTTTTTCCACATATATGCGGTGAGTGTCCGGCTGGAGACGCTATTTTTAGATTTGCCCCACCCGCCACCCTGCCTGACTGCCTGTTTTAGCTCATAAAATTCATACAAATTACCCGGCCAGAATATAATTTACATTGCTGGAATTCTTATAATTTGGTGATCATTTTGAATATAAACATCATATTTTTGCATTAGACATACAAATTTTAGATAAAAAAATTTCTCAAATTAACTATGTTATCTTTTGTGCAAAATATATGACATTTATATTCAAAATATTCCTGGTCTTACAAGGAATCCAGCAATGTCAATTATATTATCCTAACTTTAATCTGAGGTATTATTTAATACTAAATGTTAAAAACCCTGGAAGGGAGGATTGGTGGGGGAGGGTTGGGACTGACCGCGCGGTTGGAAGAGGGGGGGAGGCAAGGTGGGGTACTTTGATTGACAGATAGTGTTGTGAAGATTATTATTTTTTTATTAACTGAAGATATTTGTTTTAGCTCATAAAATTCATACAAATTACCCGGTCAGAATATAATTTACATTGCTGGAATTCTTATAATTTGGTGATCATTTTGAATATAAACATCATATATTTTTCATTAAACATACAAATTTTAGATAAAAATTTTTCTCTAGGTAACTATGTTATCTTTTGTGCAAAATATATGACATTTATATTCAAAATATTCCTGGTCTTACAAGGAATCCAGCAATGTCAATTGTATTATCCTAACTTTAGTTTGAGGTATTATTTATTAAAATTTAGTGGTTTTCCCCCAAAAATTTCTCTGAGACTGAAGAGCCAGCGACTGTAGTGTGAGAGAGGGAGGGAGTTGAGTCCATTATTTGAATGGACATTAACTTGGCGACTGTATTTCTCTTAAGTATTAATTGTGTGCATGTACCATCATAAAATTAAGATGTTATTTTTACTACAACATAGGTATGTGCCTTCAAAAAGTGGAGTTTGGGGGTCGGGCCGGTTTCTATTGGAATTAATCCCATATGTTCTGTTGTTCACTTAACGCGATTTCACTTAACGCGGGACCCTCTGGGTTCAATTGACCGCGTTAAGTGGGGTACAACTGTGTTAATGTATATATATATATATATATATATATATATATATATATATATATATATATATATATATATATATATATATATATATATATATATATATATATATATATATATATATATATATATATATATATATACAGTGGGGTATGCTATAACGAATCTAATTGGTTCTAGAACCTTGTTCGTTATAGCATTCGTTCGTTATAGGATTAATCGTTCCAGGCCCCCAAATACAACCACTTAACACTGAAAAATATAATATAAAATTGTAAAAATTGTAAAAAAGTGCATAAATATGCATCTAAACCCCTGAAATAAAGAATATCATTAATACTTGTAATAAAAAAACAATAAATTAGTAAAAAAAAAAAAAAAAATAATTTAAATAATGTTCGTTGTAGGAGTTTCGTTCGTTATAGCATTCTCAATTTTATAGGTAAAACGTTCGTTAGTGAATATTCGTAGTAGATTCGTTATAGCATACCCCACTGTATATATATATATATATATATATATATATATATATATATATATATATATATATATATATATATATATATATATATATATATATATATATATATATATATATATATATATATATATATATATATATATATATATATATATATATATATATATATATATATATATATATATATATATGCATATACCTAGATCAGCATCTACAGTGATTTATTGCATATATATATATATATATATATATATATATATATATATATATATATATATATATATATATATATATACACAGTGGTCCCTCGGCTAACGAGCACAATTCGTTCCAGAAGGTTGCTCGTTAACCGACAAATTCGTTAACCGAAACCATTGTTTCAATTGGTTTTTTGGTAATTGGTTCCTGCTCACTGAAAATTGCCTAAATTCAACAAAAATTTTGGAAATTGACACTTACCTTGAGGTGTGTATGTAGAAGGCTCCTGGATGATGATGCTGATGTGAATTTGAAGTGGGAGGAGGAGGAGGAGAAGGGCAAGCCGCACGGTAAGGTTGCGCAGTGGATGTCTCTGTTGCGTTATCAGTGACGTCATATGACGTATCGGACTGTGATTGGGCCATACATCCTTACCTCCCTCCGCTGCTAGCTGTGATTGGTTTAAAGTAATATGATGTGTCCACCCGCGGGAGGGAGGAAAGACTACACTTGACCTAGCCGCGTCAGTTTCATCCCTCCAGGCCACACCGTGTAAACGTGCATCCATTGTTCTATAAAATGGCTTCCGCCGGACCACTGCCCCCAGAGAGAAACCTTGCCTTACCTGGACCCAGCCGCCCTAAGCCAAAGAAGATACGACGTTCCCTAAGCTACGAAGTGAAATACAAGATCATTCAAGATTTGGAGAAAGGAACACGTCAAGCTGATCTCGCGTGCCAGCATGGAGTCAACGAATCTGCAATTCATACTATTAAGAAGGATACAGCCAAGATCAAAGAACACATGAGAATCAAAAAGTCTGCAGGTGCTTCAATAATTAAGTATTGCCAGAAAAAGGTGCTGCTAAAGGTTGAAAATTTGCTGGTGAGTTACTTGATTCGTCAGGCGCGTTGCAACATAGCGGTGGACACGCGATCTGTTCAAGAGTACGCCCGTGAACTGTACGCAGCAGTGTCACGTAAGATGGGAATTGCAGAGCCCAAACCCTTCAATGCTTCCTCTGGTTGGCTGCATAGGTTTAAGAAGAGAAACAAGATCACCAACATGAACATTGGTGGTGAAGAAGCGAGTGCTGACCGTGCGGCGGCTAGAGATTTTCCTCCATTCTTACGTGAGGTTATGGAGGAAAGACAGTACACCGACGACCAGGTGTTCAACATGGACGAATCCGGTCTATTTTGGAAAAAGCTGCCTACCAAGACCTTCGTTGTCCAGTCTGCCAGCAAGATTCGGGGCCGAAAGTTGCAGAAGGAGCGCATCACCGTCTTCTTTACCACCAATGCCTCCGGTACCTGTAAACTCAAGTTATCGGTGATCCACACAGCCCGCAAGCTGCACGCCTACAAGAACGTGGACATGAGCAAGATTAATGTCCACTGGCTGACCTCATGCAAGGCGTGGATGTTCTCTGCTCTGACACTCTCCTGGTTTGTTGACTGTTTCGTTCCCTACGTGAAGAAATTCTGCGAGCAACAGAATGTTCCATTCAACATTCTGTTGCTCCTTGACAACGCACCAGGACGCTCGCCACTACTTATGGATCGTCACCTCAACGTAAAAGTGGTCTTCCTTCCTCCCAACACTACGACATTAATCCAGCTCATGGACCAGGAGTTGATATGCAATGTGAAAGCTGCATACTCTGCAAAGAAGTTTAAGCTCCTGAACGACTGTACCAACACCAAGGATGAGTTGCGTAAGCTGGGTGACACCGATAGCGAGAGCAAAAGCGACGAGGACGAGGACAAGGAACAAGAGGTGGTGAATCAAGAAGTTCTCGTCAAACAGTTTTGGAAAAAATTTAACGTCAAACAAGCTGTGGACTTCTTGGTGGAGGCATGGGATCAGCTGTCTGTAGCTACGATTCGTCACGCATGGAGGCATGTGTTGCATGGTATCCCAGGTGAGAGGCGGAGTCAACCTGTGACTGGTGAGGTTCAGTCTGTTACAGTGGCATTGGACCTTGCAAGAGAAGCTGTGCACAGTATTACAGCTGAAGGCTTCTCCGAGACCACCAACGAAGACATCCTGGAGGTGATCAGAGATCCTGAAATGACTGCTGACAAGATGTTGGAAGATGATCACGTCAGTGATGAGGAAGGTGGTGCGTCAATCCCAGAACACAAGTTAACGCATAGTAATATTTAGGGTGCCATCGAGTGTGCAGAGAAATTGAAGCTCTTCCTTTCCAACAACCATGACGATGACCGCTATGAAGTCTTCCATACCCGGCTGGTGCAGGCTATGGAGCCGTACATCAAGGTGTATCAAGACAACATCAACATCAGCCGTCAAAAAAGCATTACCGAGTTCTTCGCCCGCAACCCACCACAGCCAGCCCGAGCCAGTGATAGTGACAGTGAAGGTGACTTTGAGGGATTTGTCAGGGAGGCCCTGACAACTATGGTGGATAGTGATGGTGATTCATCTAGTGATGGTGATTCACCTGAGGGCCAGTAATCTGCCCTCTGCCTTGGAACCAGCCTCCATCCCTGTATGCCGACCCATCTCTTCTAACGTAAGTGTTAAACCTAACCTTTATTTTTCCTCACCTAACCTTTATTTTTCGTAACCTAATCTCTTCTATATTAATTGTGTGTGCATACCATCATAAAGTTAAGATAATATTTTTACTACAACATAGTTTTGTGTTGTCAAAAAGTGGAGTTTGGGGGTCAGGCCAGTCTCTATTGGAATTAATACCATATGTTCTGTTGTTCACTTTAAGCGGTTTTCACTTTCCGCGGTACCCTGTGGGTTCAATTGACCGCGTAAATCGGGGTACTACTGTGTGTATATATATGTATATATATATATATATATATACAGTATATATATATATATATATATAGAGAGAGAGAGAGAGAGAGAGAGAGAGAGAGAGAGAGAGAGAGAGAGAGAGTTTTTTTTAAGATGTTATAACCTTCATTTAGGTATCAGTTGAGTTTATTTATCCACACAGGTATGGTGCTCCTCTATCACAAAAGAAGCAGCCCACTTGGAGATCATGAAAGACTCTCATGTACCGGGTGAATTCCGTGTATTTGGTTCTCTCACAAACTCTGAAGAATTTGCTACAGCTTTCAATTGTCCAAAAGGATCAAAAATGAATCCAAAGAAGAAATGCACAGTTTGGTGAAACTAATGAGGTACTCTTATATTCTGAGGAGTTTTTTTAAGAAGGAAAGTTATAGTGAATGTTGAATATTCAGAAAGCTAAAATTGAAGTACAATATTATTACTGTATAATCTTTTCAGTTCTTGCCTTTAGATTTTGGTTCGTATCATATCAACAGTTTATAAGCAATTTAGAATGGCTCACTTTCAGTGTTTGGTATTTTTTAGGTTCATAAACATACACAGTGTGCATGTACAGCATTGAAAATGTTAATATGTACTATGGCATACAGGAATTTGAAAAATAAAACTTATCTTGAAAATAATATTCATTAAGAAATTTCACTATTGGCATACAATATATTAGTAATATTTATTAATTTTTTATAATGAATTTAACTAAAGTACACTGGAGCTGACTAATTAGACTTAGTCAAGAGATAATACATTTTGAAGTTTCACATTAACCATCAATCAAGGGCATATCCAAGTGGGGGGGGGGTTCCTGGGGGTGTCTGGACCCTCCCTTTTCACGAGAAAATTCCAATGCTTTTTTTTTAGTGCAGTATTATACTCAGGCATTTTTGTATAGTAAAAAGTAATTACTATTGACCTCAGAATATATCTTAATATCAAGTGCACATGACCTCAAAATGGTCTCGCAATGCCCATGATATTGGTCAGATTTAAAAAAAAAATATTCTCTGGGGGCTTTGCTAGCCGAGGTCCCCACCCAAACTTCTTGGACCCCTCCCCTTTTGATATTCCTGGATCCACCCCTGTCAATACAACTTAAGAAAATGAAGGCATTGACACTGCATTAAATTTTGAGGGATAGAGTTTGTACTACAGCCTACTATAGGACAGTATAAAAATAGTTCTTACTTCATGTGAAGAGCCTTCCTTACTAATGCTGGTCAAGACTTGGGATTGCCGATGGTATTGTGGCAGTGTTCTTGCCACTGTGACCTGGTTTCAGTTCCAGGTTATAAGTAAGAAAGGTGTTATCCACTGTAACCATACGTCCATACCAAACATCATTGTGGTTGTCTGCGGGTACTCTGGTTTTCTAACACTGGTTAAATGAACAACATTCTCATCTGGAACAGTAAGTAGAGTTAAACAGTCCTCTGGCTTCCTTCCCTTGACAAAAGGATAAATTTAAGTACAGTACAGTATTAAACAACTGTGGTTTACCATTTTGCATTTTCTTTAATGTAAATCCTATACCTGGAGGTTGATATTTCTGAAATTTTTTTGACAATGTTAAGTGTAAGAATTAAAAATACATGTAATTCAAAAGTGATATCTCCGTTAGCCGGAACAATTGGTGCAGAGCACTTCTTGGAATGAGAGATTTCCGGTTAATGAGACAACTCTCTCGAAGCTGGAAAAAAAATCTCTCATCCCCGGAATTTTCCGGACAGAAAATTTTTCTCGGAATTTCCAGAAAATGCGCCTGATTTTCATCTCTCAAACCCAGAAAAAAAACTCCTCCATCCCCGGAATTTTCCGGGTACCGTGAAAATTTTCTCCGAATTTTCCGGAAAATGTGCCCCTTGGAAAATCGTTCCCAAAGCCGTAATTTTCTGGAAAATTGCAGTTTTGGGAACGATTTTCCGAGAAAATTTCAATTCCGGCTATTGGAGAGTTCCGGGTTTGAGGGATTCTGGCTAACGGAGATATTTCTGTAACAGAAACCGAATTAGTGAGGCTTCATTGTACTTATATGCATTACTGTACTATCATTCAGACAATTGAGTGTGTATATACTGTACTAGAATTATGACGTAATTTTTTTCATATACTGTTCCCTAATGTAAAAAAATTTAGTGTGATATGGTTATGATAATTTTTTATTATACTGTACAGTAAATAGTGACTTGGAAATCAGCAGGGTATAAAGCACTTCTAGAATAAGTGGGACAAGAGATTGGATTCCTGTCAGCCATTCCTGACACAGTACTGTACTTCCAGTGAGTGCACACACACACACATTTCTCTTCTCTCCCTCCCTCCATAAATCTCTTTAATCATCACTAATCTACCCTAAAATTTTGTCTATCCTTTATATTCAAGTCTATATCCACCTCTGAGGACATTAATCAGTCGAGTGTTCTTACCTGGAACTGGCTGATACTCGCCCCTCTATCTATTTGATCATACTTTTGATTTGGTGATTATGTTGAGCTCAAGATTCTAAGGTAGACCAATAAAGGATACTGACTACTGGGTATTTTAACACTTAGAAGTAGAGTAACTATTACTTGGATAAATAACTAATGTATGAAAACTTTTGACCTGCCTGTGCTTCTTCAATATTCTTTTGTTAAGGAGCCAATTTCAACTCATCTTAATGGAGAGAAATGTAAAACTAAGACAAACAAAGTAGATTTTAATAAAGGCTCTGTATTACCATTAAATGTCTTGTTTCTGTGGTAATAAGACCTTATATGAGTCAGCTGGGTGATGATGCTATCTTGTGCACTAAAATTTTATGTTGGTTTTATGTATATATTGTAGCACTTGTTAAACTAATTTTGATATTTGTATGAACAAATAATACTACTGTATGCACACATACAAAAAAAATTACATATTTTTTTCTTCAAAAATAATGGCAGTGGAATGTTTTGGCAGCAAGCACTCAGTGAGTAAGGGTTAGGTTGTGGTGATTTCATTCATCAAACTATAATACACATACTGTACATTTATTCACATACTGTATGCTCCTTTTTGTGTTTGTGTGCAATATTTACACACCTTACACTAGAACATGCAGACCATCACACTTTTGCCTCTGAAACAGTAGTGATTGCTTCCCACCCTCATTGGGCTTCTGCCAGTTAGTTATATTTCATATTTATGTTTTCTCCAAGCCCCTACAGTTGGTGGGAAACTTTAAAAATATTGTAATGAATACAGACAGGATGCTGAAACCATCAGACATCACCTAGAAGTGAACAGGTTAAGCAAACTGATATGTTTTTTTTATAATTTTTAGTTCTGCATTGCAACTTCAAAACCAGCAAACATGCCAAAGAGTTTTAAAAATAATAAAGTTGTTAAAAAAAATTAAAAAAATTAGTTAATCGTATCTATGTGGCTGGGGACAAAACTTCAAACATGACCTAAGAATGAGCAATCAGTCCCCTGCTACCTCAATGTTAAGATTTACATCAGATAGTTGGCACTTTCAACCTCCCACTGCAGGCTACAGTGAATCAAGTTTAAATTATACTGTATGAACTGAAGAGATTCAAAGGAAATGCCAAGGCATCTCACTACCTACACTCGAAGCTTTCAAACCATACAAAGCTATGACAAGGGATACACTAGCATTGCACTTTACATCTACTGTCATCTTCAATCCATTAAACAGCAAAGTGAAGTTGAAACATAGAGGCATAGATACTCACTGTATTTTTAGTAATATATCACCTCTGATCATGCATTTTGTCTTTATTAAAAGTAGTATTGATTAATTGAGTGGATTATTAGACAAAAATTATTGAGTTATACAGTAACATATGGATAATTGACAAATTTATTCAGGATTTCAAAGCTTTGGTACAAGATTGAATATTCATTGAGACAGTGCTCTCTATACATGATTTCATATACATAGACCATGATTACCATTTTTATTTGATGTAGTTTTTCAAAATGGATCACTTGTATATACGACATGGTACAGTACCACGAGCTTTTTTCAGAGAGATGTACAGTAACTAAAACAACTATCTGTGCATACTTTGTGGGAAACAATATGAGACCATGGACGATAAATATTGGTATTATGGCTGTCGCTAGTCACACTTAAAATTTTGGAGCTTATCGACCCCCACCTGCACAAATAATTGTTTTACCACAACCCCAGCACTGTCAACTTTCTGCCAAGGATGATTTGAGATCCAAAATTCTTTATGGGTGAAGAGTAATAACAGTATGACCCAATCTTTGATCTTCCCTACCAACTGTGTTTTTGTCAGCAGACTTAAGATATGGTAATTGTTGTTGACTTATATGTATTCTTAGAGGATATTAATGCAGTATTGTGGTGTGGTGTGGTGAAACTCCTATTAAGCCCACAGTTCTAAAGAACCAATGTGACCTATTTTAAACTTGATTCAGAGTTGCCACCATCGCAAGGTTGATATGTTTCGACAATCTTTCATTCAGGTTTGTTGTGGAAGTACAAGGTAAGGTCCCACTGAACACAGATTGCTCCTTCAGAGAGATCATGCTTTTACCTTCTCTAGTCATAAAAGGGGACTTCTCAAGTATCAATCCTTTCAATTATATTATCTTTTTGTATGATAATAGTACAATAGTTAGTACATCAAGTAAATTTTTACCACAGTTATATATGCTGTTAAACAGCCTCCCAAAACTTTCCTTTAATTTATTACCATTTTATGATATATATATATATATATATATATATATATATATATATATATATATATATATATATATATATATATATATATATATATATATATATATATATATATATATATATATATATATATATACACAGTATATATATATATATATATATATATATATATATATAACACGTATGTAAATAAGCAGCTCATTATTATTATTATTACTACTGAATTATTATTGATATTGTTTTGTGAATATGATTCCAATACAGTACTGGTAAAGACAGTATTTTTAACTTGCAGTCAGCCAGAAGTGGCTCATGTGATTCTTTATTCGTCCGTAAAACTTTTTCCATTGGGGAAGTTGTGCCTTGATAAATATATTTATCATCTGAAATATTTTTTGATCAATAAGGCAAACTTTTGTTATACAGTAGTATTTATTTGTTTAAGCATAGAATGTCAGTTTTGAAGAAATATTGGTTGTACTGCATTAAATTTAATGTTTTCTGAGCCTTGTGTTCAAATTGAGGTGTTACTCTATCAAGTGTATTTACTTATCTCAAATGTTATTTCACATAACAGAAAAAGTTTTATGTATTTCTATGTGGTATATGGTATGTGGTATACAGTACAGGTATATGGTAGGTGCTAATACAGTATATAGAAAATCTTTTGAACTTGGTTTGAGTTGTATTAACCATGGGTTGTATGAGATCATTTATCTTTTATGACTTATTTAAGCAGTTGGTTTGTCATTCCACCATCACTAAGGAGAAACTTCGAGAAAGGACTTAAGCTATATAGTTAGAAGAAATGGCTTTGTTATGTAGCCAAAGAAACTCAGTTTTATATCCTTGTCTTATAAAATCATAAGTTTAATTGAATAACATAGATCGACTGATTGATTAAGTAAAATATCTGGTGCTGCA